ATCTTGTATATATTTATGTATTGTATAATTGTAAATTTATTGTAATTCGATAATATATTTCTCCCTTATTTTTTTTTTAATTATTTTTGCACACCTAATTGCAGAAGACAGTGAAACATGTTATTCTTCAAAGATTTTTGTTACCTGTACTTCACAAGTAAATAATTGAATTTGAATATTTTGTTAAAATAGGGTAGATGTAATAATAGTGTTATACTTTTTGTATTAAGATCGAATGTTGTTGGCTAATAAATTCTAATTTAATAAGTACTGTCGACTACAAAATATAAAACAACAACCTTTACCTATAATAAACTACTGGCAATTTTCTTTTTATTACATTATATTACAATGTTAAAAATTGGATTGATTACTGTTTAATAACTGACAGCTGTTTTAAATGCATTTAAAGAGTTAACTGTAGGAAATCAGACGTTCAGAATTTTTAAACGTGTTTAGCGAAATTTGTAGTGGTGAAATGCAAAATGAAGCTTTGAACAAGTTTAAATGTTTTAATGGCGTTCAGTTCGAACTAAACGTGATCAGTTTCTTTGGTGAAATCCGACCTTAATTACTACACAATTATAACGAGGTAAATAGTGCGTTACTGCATCTCTTGCACTAGTTTACGACTAACAAACATGGGTCAAACTTTGAGAAAACAAAACGTGTTCTCCTTGGTTCTCATTTCCATACCAATACAAATTTACCAACGAATCTCTAGACTTTATAGAGTCTACTGTTATTCCAGAAACGATATGGGACAAAGTTATCTAGATACATCAAAATAATAATTGCATTTAACAATGTCTAGTAAGACAAATTCAATATTGTGTACTAAGCACTGCTGTGTCTAAACTGTGTCACCCCACCTTACATTTTCCTATTGTCATTTAGTATATAAGATCAATATTTTTATGTACACATTGTCAGTCTATTATCATCTGTAGTATACATCATCTCCATAGACAACACCGTATTATTACCCCGCAACACAAGTCATTAGCTTATACAGTACACAAGGTTAGATAATATATCAATTCTAAGATATAGTCTATATTCGTTACTACCACAATCGATTGTCTTACGGAATATTATTATTGGAGAAAAGCAGCCGATTTCACTGTTACTTCTCAATATAATATATACCCACACATTCTGTGTATACGTAAAAGTATTAACTTATTTTGAAAAACTTTCATAAAGCGACTCAATAATTCTCTACATAATCTTATATATGTATTACGATCGAAAAGGTCTGCAGTCAATGGATCTGTCAACATTAGACTACTGCCTCACTTCAACAATGGATCTGTCAACATTGTTGCTGCAATAGTAATACATACTTCGCTACATAATCTAATACATTACGATTGCAAAGGTCTGTAGTCAATGGATCTGTCAACATTAGACTACTGCCTCACTTCAACAATGGATCTGTCAACATTGTTGCTGCAATAGTAATACATACTTCGCTACATAATCTAATACATTACGATTGCAAAGGTCTGTAGTCAATGGATCTGTCAACATTAGACTACTGCCTCACTTCAACAATGGATCTGTCAACATTGTTGCTGCAATAGTAATACATACTTCGCTACATAATCTAATACATTACGATTGCAAAGGTCTGTAGTCAATGGATCTGTCAACATTAGACTACTGCCTCACTTCAACAATGGATCTGTCAACATTGTTGCTGCAATAGTAATACATACTTCGCTACATAATCTAATACATTACGATTGCAAAGGTCTGTAGTCAATGGATCTGTCAACATTAGACTACTGCCTCACTTCAACAATGGATCTGTCAACATTGTTGCTGCAATAGTAATACATACTTCGCTACATAATCTAATACATTACGATTGCAAAGGTCTGTAGTCAATGGATCTGTCAACATTAGACTACTGCCTCACTTCAACAATGGATCTGTCAACATTGTTGCTGCAATAGTAATACATACTTCGCTACATAATCTAATACATTACGATTGCAAAGGTCTGTAGTCAATGGATCTGTCAACATTAGACTACTGCCTCACTTCAACAATGGATCTGTCAACATTGTTGCTGCAATAGTAATACATACTTCGCTACATAATCTAATACATTACGATTGCAAAGGTCTGTAGTCAATGGATCTGTCAACATTAGACTACTGCCTCACTTCAACAATGGATCTGTCAACATTGTTGCTGCAATAGTAATACATACTTCGCTACATAATCTAATACATTACGATTGCAAAGGTCTGTAGTCAATGGATCTGTCAACATTAGACTACTGCCTCACTTCAACAATGGATCTGTCAACATTGTTGCTGCAATAGTAATACATACTTCGCTACATAATCTAATACATTACGATTGCAAAGGTCTGTAGTCAATGGATCTGTCAACATTAGACTACTGCCTCACTTCAACAATGGATCTGTCAACATTGTTGCTGCAATAGTAATACATACTTCGCTACATAATCTAATACATTACGATTGCAAAGGTCTGTAGTCAATGGATCTGTCAACATTAGACTACTGCCTCACTTCAACAATGGATCTGTCAACATTGTTGCTGCAATAGTAATACATACTTCGCTACATAATCTAATACATTACGATTGCAAAGGTCTGTAGTCAATGGATCTGTCAACATTAGACTACTGCCTCACTTCTCTTCAGTATTACACTGATTAAGGTTAATTTTTCATAATAATATAAATCGATGGGGTTAAAACTGCTTTTCCTTTTAAACATATCTTCCACTTATTATTTTTTTTTTTTTTTACTGATTGATAGAAGGTACTAAATTTATGCAACTTTTGTGTATTTTGAGAATACGTTTGTGATGTAAAACCACATTCGAAGGACTTCTAATTACTACCAACTGTTTTAATCTTATTGTGTATATAATATTTTGACTAACAATTTAGAGCTGGCTGGTAATTTGCATTCACACATTTAAACTTAAAAATGCAAAGTCACAACGATTATTTAAAAGAGCAAGTCTCTTGCTCGTTCTTTCCACGATAAGGCAACCGAAAGAGCGGTAAAAAAAATAGACATAACTATTCAAAAGTACATACCAAACCAAGCCCATTTAAACAAAGGGTTTTCTATTCTATTCTTCACAAATTCTAATAGTATTTATATAGATAAAGAAAGACTACGTGACCTTAAGTATGCTCCCGCGTTGTCCCGTCGCTCAGCATGTCGTTCTGGCACCGATTTGCACCACTTCTGCACCTACAGCTTCGATTACGGCATCTTCGGTGACACGTGATCTGGACGTGCGATGACTCATTCGATGTTTCGAAATTATAAGTTTTTTAGGTTCTTCACACTTCTGATATGTTAGATATACGAACTCTATGTACTAGTAAAAGTATGTATTATAATAAAATAATGACTATATAACATTAATTTAACTATGTCTCTAACACAATTCACTTTAGCAATTCAAATACAACCAGCACATCCTGTGCTCAAAGACCGAATGCCGCGGCTTACAAAAACCCTCCCTTTTATACAGAGAAGATATGAGTGGGGGTTATATGCAACTAGTTTAACGATACCGAGTAATAATGAAACTACCTTTTTTTAATATAAAATATCAGATTTTTCGAAATTATCCATGCGAACCCTAACACTTCTAAAAAAAAAAAGTAGTCGAAGTCACTCCTTACAACATTAGCAAACTCCTAGTGCAGGTCCTTCAAAATCGGTCCAATCGTTTGAATGATTAGCTAGAACAAACATGCAGACAGACATTTTTTTGTAAGTACCTACCGTTTATATACACTTTCATATGCATTTAGTTAAAACCTGTTAATTTTAAATTACAAATACGACGAAGACAAAGTCGCGTGCATCAGCTAGTCTATGATAAAGTAATGTAGTAATTATAAATTAAAGCAGCAGTGCTGACGTTGGTCTAGTTGAGATTTGAAGGTATGACCTCAATTGTACGAAGTCTAATACTGGCACTGTATAATTTCTATATAAATGTAACTGGCAGCCTACAAATATGTGCGTTGCCATATTTGTAAAAACATAATAAAAAAAGAATAAAATTCAAAATTAACAGAGATATTAACGCAACATTGCATTTTTATTTCATAAAATAATTAAATATAACCAACCCTCAAATCCTCGATCAGGTTTAAACAGGCACTTCATGTGAAGACAGATATGATATTACTCCGGGGTATGGGATTGTTAGTAACGTGGACTAATAACTCCATTGTCAGTAATACCATGTCAGGTTGACCTAAACTCGGTTCCCACTGGAAGCAGCTTGATAATATTCGTGGTGAAATTGCCATGATGAACTACCTAATCTGACCTCGTGTGATAGACAAATATTTTTAGAGTATGCAACAGCAGTCTTCAAAACCATAAGTAATAAGAATAAGTAAGTGTAAATATTTATGTTTAATTAGGTTATTACGCGTACATACAATAAGTAGTATAAGGATATTAATAAAAAAAACAACAATGGAATGTACGTGTACCGGATAATTAAAAAAAAAAAAATTAGGCCAAAACGATATCGCCACAAAGGAAGCGGCAGATATTACTATAAATAATAAAAAAAATCTCGTGCCCACCTTAATATTCCCTACTGGTGTGCCGCCAGCGTAAACGGACCATTCCATTATCATGTATTAAAAAAATTACAAATATTAACGATGACGCTGACACACTGGTCATCTGCAAGTATCGGTATCAACTCCTGAAGCAATAACCCTCGGGTAGCTTGTTTTAAGTCTCTTAGGACTGGGGCGGGTTACTTAAAAAACTAAAAGAAATACAATTAAAGTAGACTTAACGTAACTTGAGAAGCAGTACAATGTTATTTTTTTAACGTATAAAAGCCACACGAAGAAACTAAACGTTTCAAACATCATGCACCAGTCTTAAAAATTAGACATGAGAATGACACACAACTTGACGTTTAGGAAACTGACATGAAGTTGACAGTTTATTTACCTGCATCGAAATTTAGGTTATCTTATTATTATTAAGTAATAATTTTGAATTTCTGACAAAAGTACTCAAGGAGGAAAACGGAAAAGAAAACTATAATTTCTCTATTACATTGAATGTATTTTAAATATTATGAATAATAAGCATAAGTCTATGCACTGATCTAACAGTGACTCATGCAAGTGTTAAAATTTTGTCAATTGTTTATATTCGAATTTTACCGAAATGCAAGTAAATATACTCTGAAAATGCACTAGACTGAACTGAAATGTTATTATATTATATTAATTTAATGTTTAAATGTTAGGTAGTACAATTTATTACTATATTAATGTGTGACATTAAGAAATATAGGTGTGTGAACTGTGGGAAGGGCCATAGCGCTCTATACAAAACTTATGGACCCTCGGTCCTCAAACTTACTAAATGTGTGAGTATCCATTCTGTGTATACTTCTACTAGTATAATAAAAGATGCATGTAGATAAATAATGTTGAAAACATATATGTACATTTTGTTATCTGTAAGCAAATTCTTATTCCATGTATTTTTTTTTTATTTAAAAATAGAAGCAAAGGTAACACATGAGAAAAGCCGCTTAAGTATGTACTTTTAATATGCTATGTATTAGCATATTTATATTTAATTAGTGATATAAAAATATGGATCAAATAGAATATAGTTATAAACTGAGAATTATATCATCCATTTTATGTTCACATACTTAATTTAAGCTGTATACCTTAAGAATGTATTTTTTTTATACTTTGTTTTTAAATTTGATGCATTTAAACATTTTCAGGATAAATGCAAGGGTATTGTGGACAAATATATCGAGTATGACCCAGTTATTGTGATGATTGATCTTGTACTGATGTCAAAAGAGGCCCAAAGGCATGTTTTATATAATACAGAGTTTGAGGTGAGTTTATTTATTTATTTATCTATTTATTTCAGATTACATCCATATTATGTTAGTCAACAACATATAAATGTTGTTAGTAAATCATAATAAATAGAGAAGGGGGCATAGGAATTGTTAGTAATGTGAACTCCACAACTAATGGTAAAATACATAAGTCAGGTTGACATCCACACGTTTCCCCCTGGAATCGTGAATTTGTCACGATGGACCAACTGACCTGACCACATGTTCATCTCATCAGCCTCCATTGATGCTCCGCCAGCATAAACTGTTAGTGTAGGCGGGTGCACCATTTCATTATCTAAAAAATTTGTATATAGAGATATTCTCTAAGTTCATATATCTATGTCCACATCCAGATGTACTGGGTATGCGATGGTGCAATGATATCCAGTGCCTCTGGAGTATTTGCTATAGCAGTTAGGGGGTTGTTTGTTCCCTTAAATTCTATACATCAGTGATGCAGTTAGCCTGACAATCTATCAACTTATTATTAGCAATATACTATCATCCCTGAAAAAAAATCATAGTTGGTAAACAAGTGTATGACTAATCTATGGAAGGTTCCAACATTGTTGTGGTGAGGTTCGAAATACACTCACAAAAACTGCAACAGCACTGCAAAGTCACAATAAATCAAGATGGTTGAATATTTTTAAGTTCTTATAATTCATAGAGCCTTTTTCCCAAGGTTGGGGTACAATATGTGGTTCATATCCCAAAACTTCGTGTTTCTTTTGACATAGGCCTTTTTCACACCTCTCCATTGAGCTCGGTCTTCCGTCTCTATTCTAGAGAGATCCCAGAGTCAGGTTTTAACTTCTTTAGTGTATTATAAAATATTATTCGTATTACCCCAATGCCCACCATTTCAATCAGTAATGATTAACTAAATGAACAGCACATTTAACATAATTGTATTGCTATTTACATGACTAAGATTCTGGTCAAGATATTTGATTTAGGCGATGGATGTGAGAAGCGCAGGACCGATTGTATTGGAGTTCTTTGGAGGAGGCTTTTGTCCAGCAGTGGACGTCTTTCAGGCTGAGATAATGATGATGATGACAAAGATGTTATGCTCCTTATACATATAATTAGTAAATTCTTAATCTTATCCTGTAATTTTACTGCCTAATCACACTAAAACACAGTTTACATAAGGGCTTCTAAAATAGGTTAAACTTAGTAGAAATTGGTAAAACGTATTTAAAAATAGGTCAAACTTAGTTAAGAATAGTTGAAACATAGTTTAAAATAGATGAAACATAGTTTAAAATAGATGAAACATAGTTAAAAATAAGTGAAACTTAGTTAACACCTGAGATGCCTCGGACAATATCATAAATCTCTTGTTAATTGCCTGGGGCCATGTGACATTAATTTAACTCCAGAAATAGTTATTATTTGTCTTATTCTAACTTTTCCAGTCATATTGGAAACTGTTTATAATCCTGGTGATGCTGGAGACGTATGGCGTGTGGCACAGTGATAGCTTATTCAACCTGGCAGTGGACACAGTCTGTGATATATCTAACAATACAGATTATAAAACAAATACAAATTTGTAAGTATATGTACTAAGTTAGCTATTAGTTACTTCATAAACACTCTTTTTCATTTAATTCATGAAATCATAAAAAAATGTGACTATTGTAATGTGCTTATATTAAGTTTTTTATATGAAGATTATTTATTTCTTGTTAGAATGGCAAACAAGTTTATTTAAGCTTTATTTTCCATATAATTACAATTTTAGTTAATATTTTAAGTTAGACTAATTTGATTTCTTTATATATATGGTCCCATGTAGGCAAAAATGTTAGTGAGACATTATTTATATTGTTAACCTTCTCAGCACGAACAATTTTATAGCAAACTAGCTTTTGCCCGCGGCTTCGCTCGCGTTAATTTATCCCCTTAGGGGTGGAATTTATCAAAATCCTTTCTATGGGGATGCCTATGTCATATTAGTATTTTGCATGCATAACATGCAAAATCTCAGCCCAATCCGTTTAAAATTGACAAAGTTTCATACAAATTTTCATCCCCTATTCTATCTCCTTGGGAGTAGAATTAATCAAAATCCTTTCTTAGCGGATGCCTACGTCATAACATCTACCTGCATGCCAAATTTCAGCCCGATCCGTCAAGTGGTTTGGGCTGTGCGTTGATAGATCACTATGTCAGTCACCTTTGAGTTATATATATATTTAGATAAAAGTATTTACCTCTCTTGACGTTTCGACTAGGTTATACTACCCGTGGTCACGAGCTGACTGAAAGTTTAATACGAAGCGTATGTACATGAACAGTGCTACGTACATAATGTTATCATGTAACACCTGTGATACCACTCATGCGTTACTATTCTAGAGGACTAAAATGTCATGCCTCTTATACTGTAATTTTACGTCCTAATCACACCCCAGATGGATATGAAGTAAGATAAGGATGGTTTATAAAGTAAGAGGCTTAGCAGCTGAAATGTACCTATTTCAGATTACTATAAGACTGAGGTACGTTTGCAAACATCTTGTTGCAGTTTACCTCTGGTTGTTTTATAGACTTTGACTTTTCACTTGAAGAGTTACACTCTTGTCGGTGGAGCTCTTGCCACTTTCCGCGATCTTCCATCATGCTCTTTAATTCTTGATACGTCACGACTCCCATTTTCTACTTAATTTCTTTGACGTAGCTGTGCCCTGGTCTTCCCCTGCCCCTCTTTCCTTATATTTTTCCCTCAATAATAATTTTCATGAACTCATCGTGCCGTATCAAGTATGCCAGCATTTTTCCTCGTCTATTTTCTATTGTGTTCAATATTTGCCTTTTTTCTTTTACCCTGTGTAGTACTTCGTTTCTTACTTTATCCTTCAAGCTAATTGTTTCCATCCTTCTCCAACACCACATATCAGAAGCCTCCAGTTTGTCCCTTTCTTTTTGATTTAATTCCACGTCTCACACGTTTACTTTATGTTTAATTTATTTTTACAGTACAGTTAGCCTATTACTTTAAGACTGAGGTACCTTTGCATACATCTTTTTGCAGTCTACCTCTGGTTGTTCTATATTAGACTTATTTAATGTGTTTACATATATTTTTCCAGTACAATAAGAATAGCAGAGTATTGGAAATCCAAATGTTGGGAGTACAAGCAGGATCATAGAGGGGATAATAACGATCTGTTTATATGGGAGAAAGATTTTTATATCCAGTTCTTAGCTACATTTAGTGGTATGTTTTACACTCCTTTTATAATTTAAACTATTTTTTAAACTAGTATGGCACATAACCTAACAGGCCATCTGATCAAATTTAAAAATGTTATGTCACACTAGGGGCTCACTAATTGTGACTAACTGTGACGGACATGGCCAAGGGGGCCCATGTCCCTGTCATAGTTAGTCACATTAGTAGTTACATAAATGTTGTTATATTTTACTTTACCCATCGTTGAAGCCCATCTGTATATTGTCACAAGTTATAGATTGATCAACAAAGTGTATTTTTTATTGTATTACATTATTAGTAAAGCCAATAATAGATACCTCATGAATTTATCGAGATATGTGAGCAGGGTGACATTGTCAGTTACATTAAACTTTACAATATAAAATATAACAATGTTATGTGCAACAAAAATGTTAAAAACAAGTTTATAATTTCATCACACAGTCAATGCAGTTACAAAGCTAGAGACAGGAGAACATAATATTGTGTGACAAGGGGGTGGAAGTTGCTCCTAAATTAATAATAATAATAAAGTGACGTCACAATTTAAAATCTAATATATCTAAGTATTAAAGCACGAAGTTTCGATTATTGAAGAAAATAATTTAAATACTACATATGTCACACTAGGGGTCTCACAAATGTGACTCAAATGTGTCGGAGAGGTCATCATCATCATCATCATCATCATCGCAGCCCGGAAGACGTCCACTGCTGGACATAGGCCTCCCCCAAAGATCTCCACGACGATCGGTCCTGCGCTGCTCGCATCCAATGCCTTCCCGCGATCTTGACCAGATCGTCGGTCCACCTTGCTGGAGGCCTTCCCACGCTGCGTCTTCCGGTCCGTGGTCGCCACTCGAGGACTTTACTGCCCCAACGGCCATCTGTCCTACGAGCTATGTGCCCTGCCCATTGCCACTTCAAAGTCGCAATTCTTCGAGCTATGTCGGTCACTCTGGTTCTTCTGCGGATCTCCTCATTTCTGATTCGATCACGCAGAGAAACTCCGAGCATAGCCCTCGGAGAGGTCAACTCACGATATTTATTTGACTTAAATTACGGTTTGATCTTTAATTATAAAGATTACTACCATCATCCATCATAGTGCCCGGCCAGCAGTAAGCACGTGAACTGTCCCATTGTTAAAAATGACACCGACAGTCATGAATTGATTTATGCGTATATAATAAGACTAGCTAATCGCCCCGGCTTCGCCCGGGTGTACATGTATTATACATATAAACCTTCTTCTAGAATCACTATATCTATTAAAAGTAACCGCTTCAAAATCCGTTACGTAGTTTCAAAGATTTAAGCATATATAGGGACGGACAGAGAGCGACAGCGACTTTGTTTTATACTATGTAATAATGTTAATGATAGTATAGTCATTATTAGTATCTGTATCAATTCGGTAGAACCAATGACACTTTGGGAGACCCATCTTATTTAAGACGATCACACACGTCAGTCTTTGTGGAAAGATATAGACCAAGCACTACTTACATATAGCCGGATCGTCGTATATTCCCCTGAAAGAGCCGGGGATCGATTCTCCTTGTTGCGTTTTGCTCTTCGGGTTTCCACTTCGGATCTGCTGTCCACTTCAGGTCTCACAACTTGAGGAATGATGATGGTTCATAGGGTTATTTGGCTTAAATTTGTATTTTATAACACTTAGCTACGTTGCAACCGCCGTTCGCATCGAAACGAGAGACAAGACTTCTGATCACGAAAATTGTCACGTGATTAGACGACTGCTGTTACGATTGGCTATAGTACGACCAATCAAGACACTGGTCAGTGATTGGTCATTTCAATTCACTTAGACTGCGTGTGCGAAACGTATATATAAATTAATAAAAATGATGACGTACCAATATCTAAATGAACGATTTTTTTTAATTTCAGGTTTATTAGTTTTCCTAGTTTTGCTGCATTCTATTATGAGTATTGTTAAGTTAAGATTGATGCGTAAAGAAGGTGAGTGTATAAAATTCGTGACTTGAATATTTAAAAAAATAAAATTTTGGGTATTTAGACAATATATACAGCTTAACCTATTTTTTTTATCAAGGGTTTTGGACTATTTTTAGGTGTACTACTTAGACCTGTCGCTCAGCTTAACCTAAGTTTTTTTCTTTTTTTTACTGATACTGTAATGTATTGATACTTCATTTGTCGATACCCGCAGTGTCTTTGAGGCTTGTGCTGAAGTCGTTCTCCCTGGCCAACATGAGCGTAGTTTTCACTCTGCCGACGCTGGTGTGGAGTGCGGACGCGTTCCGGCCACTACACTACGCACTCGTCTTCGTCTACAGTTTCAATGTGTTCACCAATGTCTTTACAGGTAGGCATATCGTCAAGTATTTTTTCATCACCGTTTTGGATATGTTTACGCTAACAATCTACCAGTCAAACTCATGGTTGACTAGTAGATTTTAGACGCCGCAAGATGTTAAGTCCGCTACATTATTAATGTGCAATTAAAAAGTTAAATAAAAAAATAAAAAAATGTTTTAGAATAGAATAGAAAATTCTTTATTCAAATACACTTAAATTTAAGCACTTTAGTAAAAAAAAAGGATTATAATTATATCTACCGTTTAATAATAGCAATTTTTATGTGACTACAATACGGGACTTTTTTTATGTAATCCGAATTGCAAACAAGCTGTGGTCCCTATATATATGAACAGCACTACCGACATCACGTTATCACCCATGCTTTGCCATTCCAGAGGACTCATCGTGCCTCTTATCCTGTAATTTCTGCTGAATCTACACCCTACAATCGTAACACATCTTATGCTACGTTTACATTCAGCCGCTTCCCCTGCCACTCGCGCTGCCGGAAATATTGCCGGGCGACAACTAAGCAACAGTGCTGAATGTAAAAACACGCTGCCAGTCCTTTGACTCGCGCACGAAAAACACACAAACAAGACAGGCAGCGCCAATGGCATGGGAAGTGTTTCCACTCGCGCTGCTCACTTCCCTGCCCACTCGAGCTGAGTGTAAATTGGGCATTACAAAGCTAGCTGCTTGGCGGTTGAAATAAGTGACGCTGATGTAACCATGCAGACGACTCTCCTCTGATCAGAGGAGAAGGGGATTGTTAGTAATGTGACTGTTTATCCCATTACTAGCAATGTATCATGGCAAGGTGACCTCCACGTGGTTCCCCCTGGAAACCATCACGATAAATTCCTGGTTAAAATTAGTCATAATGGGGGCTAACTGACCTGACCTCACGTTAATGTCATCTTATCATCTTCCACTGGTACCCGTCAGCGTACCCTTAGCGCAGGGGGTGCACCATTCCATTATTATTAATTAAAATATCTTCATAAGTACTTTGTAAAAAAATTTAGCTATAAATGTTACTGTTTTTGTTGAAAAAATCTTTAGGTTAGATTTTTCATAGCGCTGACAATATTATCTGTTTGCACTAATATTAAATGCGTAGTTTCCAAGTTAATTGTCGCATGCCTAATCCTTGTTAACGTGTGTTCACTAATGATATATGTACAAAAAGTAATGAAAATTTTGTTGAACATTTATTTAAAAGAGCAACACACAAGTTTTTTGCTCATTCATCTTGTGATGAGTCTGCGTTCCAAATGAGTGGTAGAATAAAAAATATGCTTATATTAATTTTATTCGGATACACATTATTTCTATTTCTAATACCTACATTTCCTTTTAATTTCAGTAATATACGAGTGCCCTCTTCTGGTGACAGTTATCACACTGCTACTATGCAACTGTGCCAAATATGTGACCAGTTTCCACGCGATGCTTCTCTTCAGGGGACAAATATTATGAAAGAAACACAAGTTTATATATCACAGAGTATTTATTTGAAAATATAATTATATAATCTTACTAATTTACATCTTTTATTTTACAGTCTATGAATACAGATATCAAAAAGGTAAAATCATAGAGACTGCAATGTGAACACAATTTTGTCGTTGAAAATGTTTATTGTCAATATCTCACTCCTGCCGAGTGTAGTGGAAAATAAATATAAGCTTTATTCAAACAAACTTAATATTAGTACTTCTGTATAGTTGTTTTCACGATAGTGCTACCTCAATCTGAATGCAAATTCAGCTAAGAATAGACAAGAATCTCAACTCATTCTCAAAGAAAAACATAAAAGTTATCAAATATATATTTTACAAGCTTAAATTTTCAGATTTTCTCTAAATAATACAAGTTGCCAGACACATTGATAATATTAATTTTAAAAAAAATTAATACTAATTAAACAGAAAATTATTGGTGAGTGAAAGAGATAGAAGACGCGGGAATCATTAGAAAAACTCATTTACTTTTGTGTTTACGCAATCTCTATGGTTTCAAACTCCTTGGTTACTCTAATAACATGAACAATTAAAGATACAATAAAAATTAAAAATCAATTGAAAATGGGATGCTATTAACACATTATGAGCGGGGCAGGTGTTTGTACCTATTAATAAATATATACATTACTAGCTGTTCCCGCGACTTGGTCCGCGTGGAATTTAACTTTATTTTCTAAAATAAAGGTAGCCTAAGTTACTTTCTATTACATCAGCTACCTGCCAATAAAAGTCTCGTTAAAATCGGTGCTGGACTATTTATTTGAAAAATAAAAAGTTAAATTTCACGCGGAGATCATTTCAGAGATTACAGATAGACAAAAATTGTAAAAAAATTTGGTGTATGTACCGTTATATTCATATGCATGTCGTAAAAAACTGTTAAAACGGTTATTTCAACATTACAAACAGACTCCAATTTTATTTATATGTATAGATATGTATACATATAAAAAAACATCTATTAAAAAGAGCAACACACAAGTTTCTTGCTAGTTCTTCTTGTGATGAATCTGCATTCCGAATCAGTGGTAGAATCAAAATATGACTATTCAAAAGTGCTTGTAATGAGTTTATTTGAATAAAGATTATTTCTATTTCTATTTCTATATATATTTTCAATTTTAAACGGGTAGTAATACCTTTCCCGCTTTTAAACGACAATGTGCGAAACGAGTTCTAGTATTTACCCCAATTGTAAGTGGCAATCCTAGGAACGGATACATATACCTGCCCCCTCATAATGTGTTAATAATACACTGATTACAATAACAGTTCAATTATAAAGTGATAACAAAAGTGTTGTACTCATTTTAAAATTACATTTGATTAAAATAGACATTAATAATGCTACACTGTTTTAAATTTGATGCGGTCATTATTTATATGTATAATTAGGAAAAATCAGGGGATCTTACCACGTTTTATATTTATTGAGTTCCCGATATTTCGACAGTTTCAATCGCCATGATCACGGGTAAACTGAAGAGAATCTTTTATAAATAATATTTTAATTATCAGAAACTCAAAGTAAATAAGTCGTGGTAAGTACTCGTGATTTTTCCTAATTCATAATTCTGTTATTTATTGCAATTACCTACTATTATAATTTGTGGTCAAGAACACCCTATCTATAACGTAATAACATAATTTATAGTTTCAAAAAAAATCTTTAATAAAATATTCTAGAAAGATCACGAAACTTCCATAGATGATTCATTGGCACCTCAATAATAATATTAAAAGTTACTTGCAATTACAGAAGATAAATTTCAAAATCTTTTCAATATCATATAGAAATATTTAGTTACTTTTAAAAGCAAGTTGCAAATTCTCTATTTAAATAAAATGACAATATGTAATAACTTCATGAAGTATGATGCTAATTTTCTAAGCTATAAGGGTTGAATACAGTAATTCCTGGTCTATCAATCATACTCGTGAACGCGTGCTACTTATACGAATAAGTAATGATCTGCTCATTTTAACTAGGACTGAATTATTACATAAAATATTGCACTGTAATTTAAAGGAACAAATTATTACAGTGCAAGACAATAAAAAACTTGAGTCTATGCCAAACCAATTGGCCAGCATTGTAATAATAAGACTGATATTTTATTTTTTTAATTTATGTTCATTGTTACATTTATTTTTATGTTATTTAATCAATTCCCTGCAATTAACGATATATAACTACATGTACAATTCCTAAACAGTAACAGAGTTAGTAAACAAAATAATTTAATGTTAGATTCTTTTATTTTAGAATTACAATTCTATTTTAGAATTAATTTAGTACTATTTTAATTTTTTTTACATTCACAAAAAAGCACGGCTAATATACAAAAATGTGCTAAATTTAAACAAAATCAGATAAAACATTCAGTCTTTGGCTAAATTGAGCTCAAGCTAAATATTTACTATACTAATCATAAAATCGAATAATTATATTTTAAGCTGCAATTTAATTTTTAGTCATGAACAAATAAGGTATGAATTCCACTAACCACATGTGATAGTAAATGTTGAATAATTAGTTGGGCCAATCTGTCAGCTCTACAAATAAACCAACAATACGTCCAAATATCCAATTACAGTTTACAAATCTGACTTAATAGGTTTAAGAATAAGGTATAATAGGATTTTAGTAATGTGGACTAATAACCCCATGCTGGGAATGTACCATGTCACATTGACCTCCACGCGGTCCCCCCTGGAAACTGATGTGATAAATTTCTGGTGAATTTGCCATGATTTGCTATATGACCTGACCTCATGATCATCCTCTACTGGTGACTCGCTAGCGTAAACCAGGCGCACAAACGGGGGCTCCATTGCATTATCATCCATTAAAAATACTCTTAAACCTTTTCAAGTAGAAAAAAATACGAAAAATAGGTCTAGGTAGCTAACTTTGAATAAGAGCGAGCACAACAGATCTATACAGGTACCTGACCTTAGCCCAAACCCCCAATAAAAAAAGAATAATCCAGCAGATATGAGAAGCTCCTCCTTTTTTGAAGTCGGTTCCATAAATACAATTTTAGCAGTTAGTATTGAAATTATTTTATACCGTTCTCGTGGGGCCTATACTTGTCCTACAAGACGAATGACATCCAATTCAATAAATCCATTAAACCATTTGGTCACTTCCGCCAAGTCCGGGCGTACCTAACTATACAGTATTCCCTTAGTTTGGATGATAAATACGTACATTTTTTAACTACAACCATTATATTTTATCCCCAACGATATAGACCACTTTCTTTGAAGCTTCCAATATACAACACACTATACTTCACTTGTGTGCAAGAATAGGGTTACACTATTATTATAAAGATGTAAAATTTCCCCTCCGATCAATCCCCCGTCCCATTCAAACGGTGATCGAAATTACGACGGCCTGAACCGAGGTTCGAATCCCTAGCGGTGTCCTCAGACTAAAGTCATATCCGTCAGGCGGGAGTTAGTCATCAGCTATATAAATGATTCCCCGGGTTTAAAGTGCCATTTGCACTCGCCCTCTATGATGCGGTGAAGCTGTAAAGGCCAGCTGCGGCCAACAGTATTAGAGTTGTCCGAATAAAAAGGTAATCTTAATCTTGTAGGTGTTAATTTCTGGATCTACTGAACCGATTTCAAAAAATATTCTAGTGTTAAATAGCCCATTTATCGAGTCTTTAAGCTGTATAACTTCACGCTACGTCCAATAGGAGCTGAGCTGCAATGAAAACTTGCAAAAACAGGGAAAACGTGACGCAAACGAAGTTGTGCGAGTCACCTTGTTATAAAATTAATCATATCTCTTTACGTAATTTCCTCGAGTAAAATAGATTATGGATAATTATCTACAGATCATAATGAACCAACCACCCACTTCAACCTAATGGTGAGGCCAAACCACGGAATCCAAGTATGGTGCTGTAGTATGAATACCATTGTGTCTATATTACTTTTCATACCTTAGATGAAAGAACTAACAAGTGGCAAAACGCAAATGAATGGGTACAAGAAAAGGTATCCTTAAAATAAAACATTACACCAAGACCTGACCAGCACTAACTGGTGTGTTAAGTTAGTAATTATAAGACCTTATGAAAAAGGATGCAAACAATAGAATAGAAGTTCTATAATAATAACATCTCAAGATAACTCGAACAGCGCCATCTAGTCCCAACCTAATCAGCTATTATAAAATCATAGGTTTCATTTTTAGAGTGAGAGTTTAAACAACGCTATTTCAGAATTAACCTAATCCTAATTTCTTTTATTTGTAATATATCATCTCATGAGCCAAGAGTCAATAAATATTTTTGTTAATTTACTTATTTAACTACTATTAGACAAATTATACGGTTAAAATAAAAAAAAACTATTATGTAACAGATGCTTAGATTAAAAAACACATATATAGTGTGTCTATACCTGCATCTTTCAAATCAAATAAAAAAATCATTTATACATTTAGCATTTTAGCCGCTTATAAACTTCAAAATTTTGTATTAATATTTTTTTCTTACTATACAGTTCAGTATACAGATTCAATTAAGAACAACTGGTAAGTAACTGAACTGAATCCCTTTTTATTAAAGCCTATTTGTTTGCATGGTTTCCATAAAAATGGCAAACACTGTTATATTGAATCACACAGTACTCTAATATTGAAACCGGCAAAATTACTTGTAATTCCAATTTTCCTTGATATACAAATTGCTGATGACTTCATTCACCATGAATTACCTGCTCGAATACAGGAAATTCACAGAATGGAGTAATTACCTACTTGCATATGAATTTACATTTATATATTGCATGGACAGTGGAGTAATAAAAAAGATAAGTGTTAAAAACAAGCTAAGTATTTGAAATGTTAAATATGTAATAAACACACTTTACCTAGTTTTGTTTTTGTAACAAAAATAATTACAATATAAGTGCGTTATGTTGATAACACACGAAGCGAAATTTCAGCCCGAGTCAAGGTGAGGACGTAATAGCTCCTAGTGCGTTAAACAGACACGTATATCGTACGAGGTTTTTCAATACACTTGCAAGAGAATAAAAATCATGATATTATATTTTGTTCATCTTGGCACTTTCCCGCCATTTTACTTACTTTTTTAAATGAGCGCGCTGCCCAGTGTCTGGCGCCGTGCAACAGACTGTTCGAAATTTGAAAATTAGCAAATATTGTGGTTATGGAACTTCATTATTTGCGTTTATAAAGCACGCGTTTTATGAATTGCTTTATATATCGAAAACTAGTGAAATGAGAAACATTCCACGTGTATTAAAAAAAAAAATTAAATAATAGGTTGCTTCTATGCTACAATAAATATAATAATAACCTATTAATACCAAGAACAACAATATAACATTCTCAAATAAAGTAAATTACTTGGCTCATGTAATATTCCACACTAATATTAACTACTTAAATAAATATAAATTACTATAGACTACTAAATCACCTATTTTCAAGTTGTCAGACAAAAAATATTGGACACATTTTGTTCAATGACAAATAAATTGTTTATCATAAATCAACATACATTTTAATCACATGACACAAATAAATATATATGATAATAGATAATTAAATACATGAATTTAGCAAATCAACTAGAAATCTATTGTATGTTTTCATTTAATTCTATCATTATCTATAAAGTTGCCCACATGCATAACTCTCTTTTTTTATACTATGATGGTGACAATCAAGTATACGGCCCATCTGATGGAAAATTTTAGCCTATGGATGGCCTGAGACACTTAGAATGTCACATGAGTGTTACCGTTTTTACAGTATTTGTCTATGATACTTGTTGACAATGTAGCTAGTACTCTTTGTTTGTTCATTACAAACAAACAAAAAATCAAATGTTGTCTTTATATTGTTAGTTATATCTACAGGTCAAAACTGTCAGTAATGTTCGACACATAATCCAATAACAGATTAGTTATGGATGATATTTGTAGTAATACTATAGATAATATAATATCCTTGTACAATTCCATAACACAGCTTTAGATAGCTTAACTTGGGACTAGATGGCGCTGTGTGAATTGTCCTGAGATTATTATATAATTATATATTCACAAAGCGCCATCTAGTCCCAAGTTAAGCAAACCTTGTGTTATGGGTACTAGGCAAATGATATAAATAGATACATATTACTCTTCGTAAATAGCAAAGTCAAAGCAGATATAGCAATGCAGTTTTTAAATATATATAGAAAACACTCAGACTGATACAAACAATCATACTCATGAATACAAATGTTTGTACCAATACAAATGTACCATGCAAAACATTGAACCTATAACCAATGGAAATAAATTGGTGTTAAGCAACTGGTCCACAGAGTCCGTCTATAAAAAGTAATTCAAAGTGTCAATGTAAATACCAGTTCAAATAAGATGGACAGTTCAAACTCCAAAAGACAAAACACACATATATTATATATAGATGTCATAACGCCACATATATTTTGTTTGTCAATATTTACACAAACTTATCACCTTATTGACTCCCAATTAAATAGTTGAATTTGTACATAAAACTTATTTATGTTGAAATACATTTAGCACAATACAATAGATTTTGGATTCTAACTATTTTACCTAATCTATCACTTACCTGAGTAATAAATTAGGTAAAATAGCTAGATTTGCTGTCAATAAATAACTTCTCTACCATAAAAGCTTGTGATAACACATTTAATTTAATAATAACTGTTGACAACAGACCTTCTTTTATATTTATTTTCTAATTTTGAACTATGTTTTTCATATACAATATTTGTCTTTTATATTTTGTCTTTAGTTCTATAGTCGAGTCAACTATACTGTAAGGGATTGGTGAGTTAATGATTTATTTTACCTTAAAAAATACATTACCGTTGCTAGCCGTATTACTGTCATTTAGCTTTGTTTATATATTCAACAAAATGAAGAGACAACTTAGACGTAGAATGACTGATTTATACAAATTGTGATACATGTTTTTGTATCTGTGGTGTAATAATTAACCCCAAGAGCAATAATGTATATATCTACCATATATATTTAAATATACTATGTTCTTCGTGTTACGAGTTATAATTACTTTCCATCAACTTCTCTGTCATTTCCTGTAGTATAAATCATAATATTCAGCTTTAGTTACGTAACAGAAATAGCATAGGAGTTGATGGTCCATGTGCTGGTAAGTGGCAAATTTAGTCTGTATATGAGAACAGCACCACAGACTTCATATTGTCATGTGCAGACACAATAGTGATGTCCACATTCTGGCCAAAGGTCTGTCTCTGTACCCTGTAATACCATTGCTATAACATATCCTTCAACGGACCGAAACAGAGGTGCCTATGCAACTGACTTTGAAGAAAGTGTCTCTTGGTAGACTTATCAGCATGTTAAGGCAAGATGGGCATGCAATTTACAATATAGTCCTATAACTAAAGAACACAGAATTCTAACAACTTTAAAAACGGTTTTTAGCTACCAAGGCCACTTCAAGGACTGAGGGGCGGGTCATCCTGGCCTATCATCACGTCCTCGTACATAACATCATTGTTTCTTCTCAAATTGATCTTCTGACGTATATATTCGATTAAATTATACCTTCTTACGACTAAAACTAGGCCGCATATGACGAGAGCCAGTGTAAATATGGTAACTATAGCCGCCGTGGCGGTGTGGCGAGTCGTCAAGGCAGACTCGGAAGGTTCACAATGTTTTTCCACTAACGTAAAGCCCTGTAAACATTCGCACTGTCCCGTTTTCTCATTACAAAACTTATGCTCTTCGGGGCATTGGTGGATAGCAGACACGTTACAGGACAGGATGTGGTCTGTTAAAAAGAATAAAGTCTCGTAACCAGTTCAGAATAAATTGATTCAATTAAATAATTGTCGGTTACTTACCAGAGTAAACGCAATGTATCAAGTTCAATATTAGAGCGGCGATATCGAACGCCTTCAAGCCCATGTTGGTTAGGGAAAGTTTATCTTTCAAATATTCACATCACAAAATTGTAAAGACATACAATATTCTGTGTTATTATTGAAGCAAAAATGATTATTCACTGCCAAGAAAACAACTCGTAACGAAATCACGTCAAAAATCGACGTCAGTGACCTGCCTAATGACATTACACTACATGGGAGTTGACATTTGACAATGACAATACTGGCGTCAATTTAAGCCGATTGTCAAAAGCGTTTTGTTGCATTAAATAAACGTAATCTGAACAAAAAAAACAATATGTTTTTTTGATTAATAATAATATTACAATGAAATCCGAAATTATGTCTATGTATTTGTATGCTGATAATCACAAAATTGTCTTAACCGATTTGGATGCGGTTTTGAACTATATAAATAAGAAAAATTATACAAATAAATTTTTATTTTGGTCTCTTTAATTTTTTGTAAGTATAGGCACAGATAAAATAATATTACATAGGTTAGGTAAAAAATATAACATTTGTAAATTAGATATTTTTACAATGAAAATTTTTAAGTGGACAGTATTACTTTAATTCTATTATGTATACAATATTTTATGTAATAAATAACCAAATTATAAAACTGTAAGTTTATTAAAATAACAACATTTGAAATTCAGACTAATAACTATTCAGTCTAAAAATTATAAATTGAAATATACCTAGTGATTTTTATTTAATCTAAAAATTATATTCTTCACCGGAACCATAGGAATATTTTTCAGGCAGTGTGTAATCACTGGCATCATGCCCGTGGGCCTCTGTACCTCCATTACCGTCAGGTGCACCTTCCCTAAAAAGAAAAAATCTTGTACAGCTTTCAGTTACTAAAAATTTAATAGTTATTATATTATTTTTGTAATATCAGCAGTCCAAGTGCATTATGTAACAAATTTGCTACGAAATTCCGAATATCACTCATTGAAATAGAAAATTATAATTATATATTTTTTTGTTCTATTTATTTTTCATTATTCAGGAAAGGCAAAGAGAATTGTTTGTGCCTTTAAAGCCATGTGTGTTATTTTTCATGTTCTTAAATTGTGACTAATGGCAACACAAATAGCCGGAGCCAAAAGAAAAGAAAAAAAATGTTCGAAGTTTTTTACTTCATTGTATGTCTTTTATCAAATTGTGTTAGTTGCAAATGACACTTAGCTTGTAGCTACAACTGTCAAATGGTTCACGCGTAATCGTAAACTACTCAATTTCAAAATGTTTCAAATGTGAATTCTTCGCAACTATTAACCAGCCAGCAATGATCTTCATAGTTTTAAGATGATTTATATTTTAGAATTTTAATCTTTAAAATTGTTTGTATATAGATGAATTCATTTCGCTATATACATATATATATATATCACATACATCACAGTAAAAATGCATAGATTAACTACACGATAACTATGTTGGAAGTAACTTACTTCAGTTCTTCATGTTCTACTTCTGGTTGAGCTTCATCATTGTCATACTGTTCTATTTCTTCAGCATCATCAGGGCGTCTGCGTGGCTTCCTGTTTTTAGCTGCAAAAACATACAAATATATAAAATTATATAGTCATTTGATACAAGTGTATTTGTTAATTACAGAATAAATTGACGTAGCTTACGTATATGATTAAAAAAAAAAACGATGAAAATGTCATAAATTAATTTTTGTCTTTTGCCCTATTATTTGTAAATAAAAAAAGTAAGTGAATTTTAATGCCCTAGTCTATTACTACAAGGTTTCCCGCCATAAGATCTTCAATAAAATCAACTAATATAACACAATCAAATTTATTAATTCCATACTGGCCGTACATACGTATTAGTATCAATAAAAAATAAAATATCAACCAAACGTCCATTTTAAGAACCGCCTAATGAACTTTATAGGTCTCCTAATAAGTTTTGCTGATCGATTCTCTTGGTCACCTTTCTGTTCGTTCCTATGGCTGTAGGCGCCATCTTGTTCCTTTTGATCCAATCCGAACGAATCTTGTTTCTCAAATTCGTAATTGTCACCGTTTTTCTTGTGGTAGGAGTCGAAATGCTGATATCCCTTCTTTCCACCACCGGACTTCTTCCTGGAGTACCCGATCTCACCGTCGCCTTCGTTCTCATACGATCTGTGATAATCCTGAGGCTGTTAAAAGTATACATTTTATTTATTTGCTTTATTGACCAATAAAACGTGGTACAAAAGATGGTCTTAATGAAATGAAATGAAATGTATTTATTTGCATGAAATATGTTATAAATATTAAAAGAATGTCAGTATTAATAAAATTGTCCACATATTTCGCCATTGTTTGGGCATGCAAAAATTTAAGTAATATACAAATTATACAATAGAATTAATTAATTTACGTTTAAAAATTGTATTATATGTCAAATATAGATAGATACGTGTAATGCAACTTATATTGACCTAGCGGTTTATTCCTCGCACGTATATGTATATGTATATATTTTTTGTAAATACACATTGAAAATATACATAGGAAACACCTAGATAGATACAAACAATTATAGTCATAAATACAAATGTACCGTGCGAGGAATCGAACCTGCGAAGTGAAGCGGCGTAAACCGCTACACCACCGAGGCCGATTTCTCATTACTAATCAGATTTTTAAGCCAGTATATTTAGTCTCACCGCTGCAGCCCTCGTTTCTCTGATATATGAACCAACTGACATCGTATCATCAGCCATTTCTAAATCTTGCAATGTAGTCGCTGTCTTCCCCGCGACCACGTGTAAAACAGCCAGTGCCATCGGCACAAATCTGGCGGCCATGATGAAATTCTCTGAAAAGTAAAAAAGTAATTAGAAATTTTGGAGAGCACAATAAGAAACGTGGAATCGGACCGACGTGGTTCTTTTGGTTTTACCTTGTGGCAGCCGAGCAAAAGCCGTTGTCTGGTGACGTTCTGTTGGAACTCTACACAATAATTCAAGGCTTGTAGTTTATATAACTCGTATTGCAGCCGGCTGGTTCTTTCACAATGTTAGCGACCAACTGACAATTGATAATACTTCTTCGCTCAATTGCCCAGCGATTTGGTTTCAGCGATTAAGTTCATTTTTTGTCTTATTGCGCCAGTTATATCCGATATAAATAATTTGCACTGTATTTCCATTGGCGCATTTCGCTAAACTGTTGTAAATGGAAAAATGTCAAATTGTTTGTCCATCTGTCTGTTAATTTGTATGGATCTTAGACACGTAAGACGGTGATAGGCTATCGTCTATCTCAAAAAGAACAGACTGACAGACAGATATCTTAGGACAATTCACATAGCGTCATCTATTTCCAAGCTAAGCAAACCTTGTGTTATGAGCACTAGACAACTGATACAAATATATATGTACATTTTTTTTGTAAATACATAAATATATATAATACATAGAAAACACTCAGACCGATACAAACTATACATACTCATAAATACAAATATTTGTGCCGTGCGAGGAATAGAACCCGCGACTAACGAATGTAAGCCGGTGTACTAAACTACCGTTATTAAGTTCATCATAAATAAAATATATTAAAATTAGGAATATAATACAACGTTTTATTTATTTTTACTGAGTTCCCGATATCTCGGATGTTACACCCGCCATGGTTACGGATAAACTCACAGTTTACTAAAAAAAAATAGATAAAACGTGGTAAGATCCCGTGATTGATACTTTTACGTATAGATATTGACCCCATAAAAATTTTAAAAGCATATCTACATCTATTATATTAGACTCGCTTTGTATTCTCACTTTGCACTTTGTATTAGATTTTAAATTTAAAAAAAAAATAGTTACGTGAATAGCTACTTACTCACAGTTGCCTTAAATGAAGACTGCTTAATTAACTGTTAATAGTTTATCTGAATTGTTCTAGACTTTTACAAATAATTAATAGCTTTAGAAATCTTGTCTGAGGGTTTTTTCAATGCGAAAATGTATTGCGGCAAACGACCAGAAAATTTTGTTTAGTAACGATTGCTAAGAAGTAAGTCTTGGAGGTCATAATGAAATGTCGCTGCGTAGGATTCAGGTAAGTACCATTAACAGCTGTGTTTCTGTATACATCTGGCATGTTCGGTGTTCAGTCTTGCATGAACAGATGACTTTTCTGCTATGATTATAAAAGAAACTGCATGCATATGTAGTCATCACTGTAGCAAAAAAGTTCTGAAAGATATTTTGTTATAGTACTTCTTAGTTAATACTCTCCGATCGATTCCCCGTCCAATTCAAGCCTGGCCTGAGCCAAGATTCAAACCGCTAACGGTGACCTCAGACCAGTCCTATCCGTCAGGCGAAAGTTGGCCATCCGCACTAGCCCTCAATGGTCCGGTAAAGCTGTAAAGACTTTTTTTTTCTATGGACGATAATGAAATGGTGCACCCGCCTGCGCTAACGGTTTACGCTGGCGGAGCACCAGTGGAGGATGATAAGATGAGCATGAGGTCAGGTCAGTAATGGAATGGTGCACCCGCCTGCGCTAACGGTTTACGCTGTCGGAGCACCAGTGGAGGTTGATAAGATGAGCATGAGGTCAGGTCAGTTATGGAATGGCGCACCCGCCTGCGCTAACGATTTACGCCGGCGTGGCACCAGTGGAGGATGATAAGATGAGCATGAGGTCAGGTCAGTAATGGAATGGTGCACCCGCCTGGGCACTTTAGGATAATGGGGCCCCTATGACCACAGTATTAAAGCACTATTTTGTTAGAACAGACGAATTCATTTTTGAACATGACTCTTTAGATGTATATGGGATGCCCTACCTTCAAAACAGACTAGGCAAAAAAATAAAAATAGTCGTTATGTGATGAGGGGTTCAAATTCTGGCAACACAAGTTGACTATAGTCAGTAAGCATTTGTTAAGACTGATTTTCAGGCGAGAGTAGAGTTATCGATTATCATTTGGTAATCGAGTAGAGACTAAACTAGACTAGGGGACCCCAATCCATCGCCGGGCCCTGAGCACGTGCCCGGTGTGCCCAGTGGCGAAGAGGGCCCTGCATACATATGTACCCTTATATATACCCTTTCATACTAATGACATTTTTAGCAATAAAACAAAAACCTATTTTATGTATGTTTATTAGCAGCCGTCACTAAGCCATTTATTACAGAGTTGAGTTAGTACATACAATGTTAGAATGTCAGCTCTTATCAACTTGCGTGAAAGCAGTGTAGACCGTAATGCATTGTGATGGAGTCTTTTTCAGTTTGCTTTCGTTTTCCTCAATGTGTGCTTGTTTATTTACCGTAGAAGCAGTTGCTTTGTCTTTATTAGTTGCAGAAGTACAGGTATCGACCATCTCTTTTATTTCGTTGACTGACTCTGGAAATGTTTCTTATGATAGTTGCTATTCCTTTTTTAGTTGCAATTCTTCTAATGAATTCACTCTGAAATTAACGTTGCCATTAATTCCGTCACTAAGCCATTTATTACAGGTAATAATTGAGCCCTTGAGTTAGTACATACAATGTTAGAATGTCAGCTCTTATCAACTTGCGTGAAAGCAGTGTAGACCGTAATGCATTGTGATGGAGTCTTTTTCAGTTTGCTTTCGTTTTCCTCAATGTGTGCTTGTTTATTTACCGTAGAAACAGTTGCTTTGTCTTTATTAGTTGCAGAAGTACAGGTATCGACCATCTCTTTTATTTCGTTGACTGACTCTGGAAATGTTTCTTATGATAGTTGCTATTCCTTTTTTAGTTGCAATTCTTCTAATGAATTCACTCTGAAATTAATGTTGCCATTAATTCCGTCACTAAGCCATTTATTACAGGTAATAATTGAGCCCTTGATTTAGTACATAAAATTTTAGAATGTCAACTCTTATCAACTTGCGTGAAGGCAGTGTAGACCGTAATGGATTGTAATGGAGTCTTTTTCAGTTTGCTTTCGTTTTCCTCAGTCAGTGCTTGTTTATTGTCCGTAGAAGCAGTTGCTTGGTCTTTATTAGTTTCAGAAGTACAGGTATCGACTTTCTTCTCTTTTATTTCGTTGACCGACTCTGGAAATGCTTCGTACAATAGTTGCCATTCTTTTTTCAGTTGCAATTCTTCTAATGAATTCGCTCTGAAATTAATGTTGTCATTAATTCTGATTGAAAAATGATTGATGATTGAAATGCACAATTATATAACTTATTTGTTGGTGACCTTTTTTGTCTGGTTTATGTTACGAGTGTATACTTCTATGACGTTAATAATTATAGGTTTTTTTGGTGTCAAATAGAAAAGAACATTGACATAATTGTAAAATTAAAGAAAATTTATTTCTATTCTGATGTGCATTATTTCTTTGTCTCAGCCCAAAAGAACCCAACGGCAACACTTTTTATAGATATTTTTGGTTATACAAATGAGTCTGTCTATATATTCCATACAAATATTATAAAGACAAAAATGAGTCTTTTTCATGACTAAACATTTGCGTGCATCTTAATTAAATTTGTCGTGAAGATATTACGTGGAAGAAAAGATTTTTTAATACGAAACTTAAAGAAATTATAAATAAAACAGTTCACGTCTAAGACTGTGAATATTATTTATTTTATTTATTTAACTTCAATGTACATAATACAATATATAGTACAGTACGAATATATTTGGCGGACTTAACACCATGCGGCATTTTCTACCAGGCAACCATAGGTGGTGCAGAGACAACACAAAACATAAACAGAACAAATAATATAATATGTACCTAAGAGATACAAGAATGTACTACATCATCATTACATAGTATAAAATAAAGTCGCTGTCGCTGTCTGTCCCTATGTATGCTTAAATTTTTAAAACTACGTTATTTTTAAATAGATAGAGTTATTCAAAAGGAAGGTTGATATATAATACATGTACACCCGTGCAAAACCGGGGCTTGTAGCTAGTAAATATATAAAGTTAAATATATTTCTTGGACCAATATGTCAAAAAAAACCTGCACAAGTATACAATATTTTTTTCAAGTATACCTAAATAAAATATAAATGTGAATTTAATATGAATTTTTTGAAACTTTGTACATGTTACTTACACATCATTGGCAGTCACATCAAACCGTATGAGGGGGATGCCCATATCTTTGCCTCTTTGTATAGCGTTCTGCGCAAGAACATGAACGATCTCGGCACTCTTGGGACTATCTGGTGGAACGACCAGGACCACCTGAGGAATAAAACAATGCAATCATTAGTATGAAAATACATTATCACTATATCACGGATATAGTATTGTCGAATTAGAGTTTTTTATGTTTCATAACAATACACTGCTAAGTTTCTGTTCCAAATGCAATTTGAATAAACCGTATGATACCCTATGATACAAGAGATATGGATTCTATTTTCTTGATAATATATATAGACTAGACTAGACTAATACAAACAATCATACTCATCAATACAAAATGTTTGTAAAGTGCGAAGACTCGAACTCGCGACCACCGCAAATGAAACACTATGGCCGTTTGGCCGCGTTCAACTATATTATTGTACAGTTTCATTAACATCTATTCAGTAATTTTGCGTGAAAGTGTAACAAACTTCCATCCTCCAAACTCACAAACTTTCGAGGTTATAATATTACTAATATAATATTTTTGATTAAATAAATTAAATTATTTATCATAAACTGTTAAAGATACCTGTAGAATGTTATGCACGCTGTATTTATCGTGCAGGGCTGGTGCTCGCAGACAGTGCGCCGTGAAATGCATGAGGCGACGGGAGCGCGAGCATTGTATGCACCGCGCCCACTGTTCAATCACTGCGGCGTCCCACGGGCATACTGCGGTACCCAATGCCAGTCCACGGATCATCGACCAGCTCCGGCGAGCCTCTTGTTGTTCAGCTACCATGGAGTGGCCTATAATCGACAGAGATGTAAATAGAATTCTTACTAATATTAAAAAAGCGAAAGTTTGTGAGATCACGGATGCGTAATGTATAGATGGATGGATTCGTTATTCTTTATGAAACCTGACACTAATAAACTGCATAAAATATATCCGGCTCGAGGGACCATTTTGGTCCTTTTCCATTTGGTCCTTTGATTGCTTAGTTTCGGAAATTAGTGATAATTAAAACACTGGTTTAAATTTAACGTATGTATCTGTAAAAGACGGCCATTACAAGATTTAGATGTGACGTATCTGTAAAAGAAAGGCACTAAAAAAATGATATATAAAAAAGGTATCATGGAATGGCCTATAATCGATAGAGATGTCTCACAATCTTACTAATATTATAAATACGAAACTTTGTGAGATCATGGATGAGTACTGGATGGATGGATGTTAATCTATCAAGCAAAAACGGATTTTAATAATACATAATACTGATAAATTGCACATGACATATCCGGCTCGAAGGACCAAAAAGATTGTTTAACATCCGAAATTAGTGATAAAACACCGGTTTTAGATTTGATGTATCTGTATTAAAGACAGCCATTATAAAAATCATAAGTAATAAAGTAAATGCCCTTCTCACATTCTACCACTAGAGCGCCATCTATAGTGAAACATTATTATTCAAATTCAAAAATCATTTATTCATGTTGGACATTTTAGCCACTTATGAACGTAATTTTTTTTATATTATAATTTTTTCCCTACCGTCCAGTTCAGTATATAGATCCAATTGAGAAGAACTAGCAAGAAACTCAATACATTCTTTTTTAAAAGCCAATTTATTTCCAATATAATATATTTATATAGGTGTCTATGTCTAACATTAAATGAAAATCCAGTGCATGAACATCTATTGCCATGCACGCTCGTCATTCAAGTAATCGTTTAGTGAGTGACTTTGCTCAGTAAATATGATTTAACAGATGTTTTGAATTAATTTATGGGTAATTCCTGTATATCCTTTGGTATCTTATTGTAAATTTTTATATCTATTCTCAAAATAGGCCTATTGACTTTTACAAACGATTCTAGGGGACAAGGCAAGTTTTTTTTTAAATCTAGTATTAATATTATGAAAATTGTTATTAATTAGCCAGTAGCTTATATATCAGAATAACTATAAGAGACACTATATCAGAATACCTTGTGACAGAGTTCTAGCAACGTAGTCGCAGAGCATGAGGTGGGGAGCACTAGGCGGCGCGACCAGACCTGGCCATGTGACACGTGCGTGCTCTTTCACAAACCGCAGCACGCGCGGTAGGTCTGATGCGCGTGCACGACGCACGCGAAGCCGTTCTTCATTCTCGGTGCCCTGTACCTGGTGTAATAAGTAATAATATAATAATAATATTTCAGGACAATTCACACAGCGCCATCTAGTCCCAAGCTAAGCAGAGCTTGTGTTATGGGTACTAGACAACTGATATAATTACATGGATACATTTTTTTTTGTAAATAAATACATATTATACATAGAAAACACCCAGACCGATACAAACAATCATACTCATGAATACAAAATGTTTGTACCGTGCGAGGAATCGAACCCACGACCATCGGATAGTAAAGCGGTGTGCTAAACCACTAGACCACCGAGGCTGTCAGTATTTCTATGTAACTTGAATAGAATAGAAATAACAGAAAATAATTTATTCAAATAAACTTACATTGAAGCACTTTTGAATAGTCATCACTTTTTTTATTCTACCGCTCATTCGGAAAGCTGTCGCATCACAAGAAGAATGAGCAAGAAACTTGCTTGTTCCTCTTTTAAATAATTTTATTATTACTTTAAATTTTTAAGTTTAAGTGTGTGAATACAAACTACCAATTATCACTAATACAATTAAATACTCAAATAGAAAACATATTAAATATACAAACAATTGTTTAAATAACTAAATAAGGGGAAATCAGTCGTAGTGCTTAGAGCAGACCAGCCCCTACAAGCAGCACCCGTTCACGAGTATGACGGATGAGCCAGCCATCACTGCGCTCGACCATATTTTAGGGAGCCCAATGACCCAGCCCAATACCTAACAAGAAACATCGTCTATATACTTCAAACCCTGGACAATTCACACAGCGCCATCTAGTTCCAAGCTAAGTGTTAAAATTTTATGTTATTGGTACTAAAGAATACATTTTTTTTGTAATTACGTACATAATATGTATAGAATACACCCAGACCGATACATATAATAATCATACTCATGAATAGAAATATTTGTACCGTACGAGGAACTGAACCCGCGATTACCGAAAACATTTACACTTTAAGACACAAAATTATTTATTACTTACAACTATCTGTTTGGTGGTGGTATCTGGTCTTGGTGTATCAGCAAAATCTCTTATCAGTGGGTTCCTTAAGAAACCGAAGCTGGTGATCCTCGAGTTCCCAGTGAGGCATTTGAAGAAATTAACGAGAGAGCACATAGTGGGGCACCGGAGAAGTATTCAAGTTTTATGATTATCACATCCGTTTGATTCTCCGGTGTGTCATGGTTATTTGGTTGAGTTGCTATTTCAATTTTATAAATATAATCAAAATATATATGTTGACATAATGACGACTGTTTTGACGAATAGATATTTAGTTCACTATGTTTTTTTACAATTTTGAAAGTTATGCTACTGGCCATTTTTCGCGTGAAGTTTCCTATGAAGAATTTAATTTATTAAAACACTAGCTTTTCACGCGACTTCGTCCGCGTGGAATTTAACTTTACTTTTCTAAAGTAAAAGTAGTAAAGTTCCTCCTTATTACATCAGCTACCTGCTAATAAAAGTCTCGTCAAAATCGGTCTAGCCATTTTAGATATTAGCCGGAGCAAACAAACAGATAGAAGCCAAAAATTGTAAAAAATGTTATCTTGGTGTATGTACCGTATTCATATTCATATGCATGTAGTAAAAAACGGTTATTTCAATATTACAAACAGACACTCCAATTTTGTTTATATGTATAGATATAGATTAACGATTTCATAAAGTTTTCTTTTAATATCTTTTAGTGGTGATGTATTAGAATATTTGCGTTTACTAATTACATAAATAAAATAAATAATAAAGCCTTTTATTTCCTAAAATGACAAGAATATTACATGCACTTACTAACTATTTATAAACATATCATGTTATTGATCTTTTTACATATCCTATTTGTTATTTATTATATTATTATTTTTATTATATTATTTTATCTACATTCAATATATTATTATTAGCATTTAATAACAATAAACATTTTATTTCTTTTATATTATATTTTTTTATTTAGGTATCCATTTAAGGATATAGGCTTCTTCCAACCTACTTTACTAATTATATATGTATCATTAAAAAAACAAAAAGTTTTCGTTAGCTGTGTCCTGTCCTTCATGTTATTCTGATGTATAAGCTATATTACTGTAAAGTTTCACCAAAATCAGTTAAGTAGTTTTTGCGTGAAAGAGTAATAAACATTCATCAATTCATTCATACTCACAAACTTTCGCATTTACAATTTTATAATAATATCTCATGGCAATTCACACAGCGCCATCTAGTTCCAAGCTAAGCATAGTTTGTGTTATTGGCAATAGACAACTGAGACAACTGATATATTTGGATACATTTTGTGTCTACAGTACATAAACATCATCATCATCATCATCATCTGCTTCATCCTTATCCCATTTATTTGTGGTCGGCGTAATATGTTTTTCTCTTCCATTCATCTCTGTTCGCAGTCATCTCGTTATTTACTCCCTTTCTTACCATATCATCTTTCACACAGTGCATGCATAATATACATAGAAAACACTCAGACCAATACAAAAAAGTAGCGCACGAGGATAGAACCTGCAACTATCGATAGGCCGTTGATATATATAGCTATATATAACCTATCAAAATCCTAGACGCTGTGGAAAAAATTAAACAAAATTTTTTGACATTTGTCTTAGCGTCAAAAATTGACATGTAATAAAATTAAACAAAACAAAAATTCTAGTAAAAGCAGCTAAAAATATTCTAAATTTCCGAGTAAGCATGACGTAATCTTTTGTATAGTACCACATTATGAATTACCTGAAAGTGACGAAGTGTTGGGCCCTTTTATCCAACGTTACCCACTTAAATGCCAAGAGTCAATTAAGGTTCTACAGAAGACACTCGCTTTGTGACCTCTGCCTTTATCCACAAGATAAAAAACCTGTATGTATACCTTACGACTGTCATCATCATCATCATCTGCTTCTTCCTTATCAAATTTATTTGCGGTCGGCGTAATATGTTTTTCGCTTCCATTCATCCCTGTTCGCAGTCATCGCGTTATTTACTTCCTTTCTTACCATATCATCTTTCACACAGTCCATCCATCTCTTTTTCGGCCTTCCTCTGCCCTTATAACCATATACCTTACGACTGTAATATAATAAAACCACTTCCTATACGGCCTCGGTTGTTTAGAGGTTTAGCTTACCGCCTTAATTTCCGATGGTCATTGATTCGATTCGTCGTACGGTACAAACATTTATATTCATGAGTAGGTCTTAGTATAAATGTTAGACTAACACCCATTACTCAAACTCTGCTTAGCTTGGGACTAGATGGAGTTATGTAAATTGTCCAAAGTTATTATCTTATATATAAAATTCTCGTGTCACAGTTTTCGTTCCCATACTCCTCCGAAACGCTTTGACCGATTCTCATGAAATTTTGTGAGCGTATTGAGTAGGTCTGAGAATCGGCCAATATCTATTTTTCATCCCCCTAAATGTTAGGGGTAGTCCATCCCTAATTTTTTTTTTTTATTTTAAGGCAAAACAACGTTTGTCGGGACAGGTAGTTATTATATAGATAGTTATACATTGTCTTTCTACTTAGCAGAGAATCAATGAAAAATGCAAAATCGGGGATTATTGTTGACAGATGAAGTTACGTCGATCAATTAGTGTCTAATAAATATAAGGACTAAGGACAAAAAGATTACCCTGAGGAGTTACGAGGAACTTCTATCATCCACACATTCTGTGAATAGAAAGACAGAACACATCTATATTCTGTGCATAGATATTGGTCTAGGCATAGGATCTTAGAAGAACATAGTTGCTAGCATTGGCTAGCGAGTATATCCTGCTAAAGATTCCTCTCTTACTTCCATACTTATTATAATATATTTTAAATGTTTATAATTTATTAAATCTATGACGTCGGCAAACACGTCTATGGCTCATCTGATAGTAAACAGTTACCTATGGACGCCTGAAACACCAGGGATCCTTAGGTAACCTATACTCTTCTTAAATATATACTCCCGAGAAACCTTGGCAGGTAATTCATTCCACAATCTAACTGTAGGAAAGCAACTTCAAAACCACTTAGGTTCCAGGATGTGTAGAAATTGTCTGTCGATATCAGTAATTTGTGGAACAAATTCTTCATTTTCCAGTGCTTTGATATCCGCAATATCACAATAGAACGGGGCAACAAATGCCACATCAAGCAAATCCGATCATTCCTGTACCAGCACTACTGGACTCGAGAGCCCAGCATCGTTGGACTATGGATGTGCCTGAACTGTCCTTACTTGGAAGTACTCACTGATAAATATTCTAGTTCAGGTATACTATGTATTACCACAGATAAGATAATATTTGAAATTGGAATGGTTGAAAACGTTAGAGCATTAGCATGTTATTTCTCATTAGGTGGACCTAATGGAAAATGCTAATGGTGAACTACTTATATACATTAGCATCATAATAGAGTATTACAGAATATTTCTCATGCCTTATTGCCATTCATTTAGTTAAACTTTGTCGAAATTTTAAATGATAGGCGATCGAACCCGTCCAATTCAAACGGTGATCGAAATTACGACCGCATGAGCCGAGGTTTGAATTCTTAGCGGTGTCCTCAGACTAAAACCGTATCTGCCAGGCAAGAGTTGGCCTTCACCCGCTCCATAAGTGCTTTCGAGAATATATTATTGATTTGGAGTCACCCCCTATGCAATGTCATTTAAGCAGAGCTTGTGTCATGGGCACTAGACAACTGATATAAATACTTAAATTCTTATATACATGAATTATAAACAGACATACTTTAGAAGAAGAAAAATATACATATAAATTGGTAATAATCTGAATAATAATAATACTTGAGGATTATGTTGTTTGGCCTCTCTGTTTTTACAAAAGCTTTAATATATAACTTTAATTGTACCGAGATGTGAGGAAGAAGCAAGAGTAGTACCAGAAACTTATGATGCCATATCCGCGGTTATTGTATATAGGTGACAATTGCCACTTACCATCAGGTGGACCGTCAGCTGGTTCACCATTCCTGTTATATAAAAGATCTTTCTTGCCTAAAAATAAAAGATAACAATTAGGTGATCGCTTGCTGGCCTTCGAGTGTTTAGCAAGAACGAACGAGAAGAAGCTAGTAGGAGTTAGTGTCGCTAACCAGGTATTCCCGTGGGCTGCTGACGAGCTCGAGGAGTGGGCACATTACACCGCCTCCAGACCTGAAAGACACCGCATGTACTTCTGTGCACACTGCTACAGGAGTCCTAACTTATTCAAGAAGTACGATGTCAACTATATATACGATGTAAGATTATTCTACATTCCATATTAGAATAGAATAGAACAAAAGATTCATTATTTAATTAAAAACACATTTAAATACTCATGTTTATTTCTTAAATTAAATTGACTTCAACGAATCATTTTGTCAATTCCATCGCATATTTTGAATTGTCAGTATTGTGGACCCATTTTTATTTTATATATGAATCAAAAATAATGCTTTTTTTAAAAAAGTAATCAACATTCTCCCTTGAAGTTGGTTGGTTCTATTTCATCATGATAATTAATTATGTTATTTTGCGGAAGTCCAATTCATTACGTAATAAGTTTATATTATTTTGTTTAATTTCGCTAGTGAAAGTACCGGACGCAGTTTAGTCGCCGAACAGTCAACACTAGGCTTCCAACCTATATCTAAGTTATATTCAATACCTAATTATGGATCTGGATGATTTGTCTGAATTTGTTCACAAATAGAAAAAGTAATAAGTTATTAATAACTTACTTTTTTACTCTATTAGTGACTAAACCTGACCAAACGCTAATGGAACCAGGTTTCACACTTGCTAATGGAAGAATTTTGAATATTTGTGGTCTCACACTTGCTAATGGTTGCGGAATTAAACAAAACAATATAAATCCATTAAGTATAAACACATTAATAATTGTTCAACTTACAAAACATGTTTGTTGTTGTTGAGAAGAAATGGAGAGATTTGTATTCATAATCCCTGATGTAGCAAACATTCATACCGTTACAGCATTCCATGCTCATTCACATAAAAACATACCTAAATACAAAAACAATGAAGTATTTATTGTACATCAGATCGAAGTTCTTGGCACAGCTGCTGAGGTGACTGGCCAGGGTGTGGGGACATTGCTGCTGAGAACTGCTCTCGAACACGCCAACGAGCTGCGCCATCCACTTGTTCAAGTTGTATCTTTAAGTCGTTACACGTAAGATCTAGAATTACTTATATGGATTAATCAACAAACTAGTCTATCTAATATAGAGGAACTTCTTAGCAATCTATGGATTCACTGTGCGGGAGTCAAGTCCATCGTGTGGTATGAGAGAGAAATTCCAAGTTCCTGGGACTTGTGACCCAGGTGTAGGTTTAAGGTGTCACTTTGACGACGAACGTCATCATTCACTTGCACCGCTCGTGTTTCTCCCTGTTCAGCCATCTGATAGAAGTCAGCTAGTGCAGCTTTAGATACACGATCTAGTATAGAAGTTATTGCAGTTCTAAACAGGCCAAATTCTTTTAGATTATCATCTTTTAGAGTATCGTAAATTATATATAGCCATTTTTCGTTACTTCGTTTATTAATTCGTAATAATTATTTATTTTTATTGCATAGTAACTGGTAACTATAGCCTCTGTAACCCTGAACTTATTGTGGGCATCAGAAAATAATTACAATAGAACATCTAATGTAACATAGTCAGTGTTTGTTTATTGATTTATCTGATCTTTCTATTATTTGTACTTACGCTGCCTTATTAATCTCATTTAGATAAAACTACTAACTCATTGCTGGCACTTACGCAATTGTTATAAGCCTGGTCTTATATTGTTTATAAGTCTATTGTAATAATTATATTCGTTATAAATCTATAAATTACTTACCGGCCAGTACGCGTGTTATGAAATATATTTAAAAAAATAACAACTAGCTAGGCATCGTGAGTTCTGCTGTTGAGGGTTTCATTGGAAAAAAAATATGGTAAATATACCAAATATTATTATTACATTATTTATCTCTCTCGATGCTCGACTAGGTTGCAGCAGTCGTTTAACAAAGTCTAAACGCAATAGTTTAAAAACAAGTAAATAATGTCAATTCGTTTCAGTCACAATTTAAGCAAATAAAATTGCAATAAAAGAGTTCTAAAAACTTTTCCAGATCGAAAATCTGCGAGAAGTGCGGCATGAAACGTGAATGGTCTATGGACTATACAGAGTTCGTGGATGATGCTGGTCAGCGGGTGTTCTTCCCTCGCCGTCCGCACCACACTGTGTCCGTCTATGTCAAACACTTCGACCCCAAGATTGGTGGTGTGCTGCCTTGCAAGCCACCATTTTAGATTACCTAATAAGTTCTTTTGTTTCTATATTTGATTGTGTAATGATTCTGAAGCTCAATAATAAAAATATCTTTATTCATGTAGGTCTATTACAGACTGTTATGATATGTCAAATCTACCGTCAGTTCGGAATGATGTCGATATGAGAAGAACTGACAAGAAACTCAGCTCTTATTCTTATCAAATGAGCCTGTACATGTTTGTAAAAAGACAGATTCATTTTTAAATTAAAATTAAGGAGAATAGAGTGACCACCAGCATATGTTATTGCAATTCTGTCAACAGAAAATAGCTCAATTAGTGTCTATAATCCAAACAGCAATTGTGGGAATTATTTATACCTCTGTATAGAATTAAAATTTTTATCTTATTGTTAAAGATTGTATAGCATTATATATCATAGACGGCCTCGGTGGTCTAGCCGTTTAGCATACCGCTTTACTTCCAATGGTCGCGGGTTCGATTCCTCGCACTGTGAATATTTGTATTATTGAGTGTGATTGTCTGTATTGGTATCTTTGATGTTTTCTATATATTATGTATTTACAAAAAAGCAAATAAGCTCTGAACTTCGAATCTGCATTAGATTATCAAGGCTGTTAAAATAAATGGTTGAAAATTTTGGGTAATCGTGCTCTTAAGATCAATATATATGAAAATCATTGCCTGTTATTAATTTTATCAATATTCCTACTCTGATTTACATATGATGAGGGTTCATTTACACATGAAATTGTTTAAAACTATATGCATTTTATTTCTCCAATATTAACATAACTTTATTCAATAATATCAACATATTTACAACTTGATAGCAACATAAAATATAACAATACAACCAATCAATTCATTAAATACATTAACAAGAACTTATTTAAAATTTATATAGATATAAATCCGGGGCTATTCCGGAAATTAAAGATACAAAATCCAAAATATGCCGTTTATAATATTTGTATGTTGTTTGAAGTGAACTGCAGAACTTTATAAACTCATTGCAAATAAACTACGGTAGAATACATAAGATGCAACTTTGTGATAAATTTACTCCATTTTTGCCATAAATATGCTCTTGTATTGAATCTTTTGTATTTCGATTATAAATAATATTTATGGAAGCTATACAATACACATTTTCAAATAAACAAAACAATCATACACATTACAGCAACATCAATTAAACACCTTAAAATTTTAAATAGCATTGCTGAAAATTTAACTACTTTTATAATTGTTTAGTTTGATATAGTTGCCATAATAAAAACACAGTTTACGCAATAGATGTTTGGAAATTAATGCATATATAGAATACCTACGCAATAATTTCCAATCTATTGCTTTAGTAAAAGAACTTCGGAGTGAATAATATAAAAGATAATAAACAGCAACAATTTAATTTACAATATCACTTCGAATATTTCGTAGAACGGACGACAAAAATTGACAATCGTGTACAATTTAATTTAAAAATGTAAATCGACAGAATTCTCCAGTCTTTATTTAGATGAGAACGTCTAAAAACCCAACAAAAAACATCTTATGTTTGCTTAACATCGAGCAATGAGGCATACGCCGGTCAATTTGCTACAGACTCTTGCACAAGCAAAAAGAAAATCCACACTTTTTTGCTATTTGATTAATTTATTACGGTGAACTCGGCGGATATAATTTTATTGTAAAATATAGGACGAAGCATGATTGTTCATGTATACAATTTGAATACACGAACTGGTTCATTTGAAGGTATGATTGACGTAATAGTGGAAAGAAAAAGTTTACCACAATGGATAATGCGGCAAATTGAAAGGTATATCATGTTTGCGTGAAATGAAATTGGTTACCGATTCAATAGTATACATTATGGAAGTAGAGTAAACATATTACTTAATAGTACATTACCATTATTACGCTTTCAATTTCATTCTATTCGTTTGTGATTAAAAATATCTAATTTGATAGTAACAGATAGAGATTTGTTTGCTGTAAATTGCTTCTATGCTTTAATCCATTTTTTAAATTAAAAAATAAAAATTTATTTTATCAAAGTCTTAAAATATCTAAATGCGATATTAATTTATATTTGAAACTAATTATTGAGGGAAAGATAGAAAGAAAGAGGGGGAGAGGAAAACCAAGGGATAGTTACATCAAACAAATTAAAGACAGAATTGGAGTCGTGTCGTATCAAGGCGTAAAGAGTATGATGGAAGATCGTAGAAAGTGGCAAGAGCTCCACCGACGAGAGCATTGCTCTTCAGTTTATGAATGAATGAATGAATGAAACAATAAAACAAAGATGCCGATTTATGTTGTCTAGATTCTAAAGACTGTTTTGAAATCTTTAGATACAATTAATTCGATTCCGCTGTCTGTTCACTTAGATCTTTTAAACTACTTAACGGATTTTAATACGGTCTTCAGCAATCGACGGAGTGATTGACGAGGAACGTTTATATGTATAATGTGTGTTATAGTATAGAGCAAGCCGAGAAATTCAAAGATTTGTAAAGTATCCGTGCGAAGCCAGGATGAGTCGCTAGTTGAACAATAAAAGGTTTGTCCATCAATAAATCCACTAATAACTATTATAAAATATTTATGAGAATGCATGTATGAATGGTTGTTACTCTTTCATGTAAGAATTACTAGTCGGATTTGTATGAAATTTGGTAGAGATATAGACAATATCCTAATTATCTCATAAGATACTTTATATATGAATACACGGTACGGAGCCGTTTTAGAATATACTAGCTGCTACCCGGAATTTGTCTGAACAATCTGTCATCCCTTTTTCATCCTCTTCTAAATAGCCTACGTCTATCTTCGTAATACCATCTGTCTTTATATAAAATTAGCTGACCCGACAAACGTTGTTCTGTCTTAACTATTGCTATCACTCTAGTTTTTTTGAGACAAGATGGCGGCCTATGAACATTGTCTCGGACAAAAATGGCATTATACGAGCAGCCGGCAAACGGAACGGACGTGTTGTGCGAATTCGCAATAAATATTGAAATATTGAATCGCAATATTTTTTTCTAACGTTCAGCGCGATTAACTTTTTTTTTTCATGACAACCTTCTGACAATAACAAACATAGCCAAAAAAAGAATTAGCGAAATCACATCTATAATACTGGTATGGATTAGTGGCAATATGTGATGCTGATTAGCATCGTTGTCCACACAAATTGCTTATATTTATAGCTAATTAGTATACAAGTCTTTTAGTTCTTGAGTAGGTCTACTGTTTCTTCTGATAGCCCCACTGTGAGCCGCCTTCCTTGCCACCTTTCTTGCCGTGCTCAGAGTGTGACGCATGATGCTCCTTGTGTCCATCTTTGCCTTTATAACCTTTGTGATCTTCATCAAGATGACCTTTGTTACTGTAATAAGAAAAAGTACATAAATGTCTTTTAATTTTAGTAATTATGACGGTAGGACAAAAATGTTACTGTAATAAGAAAAAGTACATAAATATCTTTTAATTTTAGTAATAATGACGGTAGGACAAAAATTTTAAATTAAATCAAATTAATTCATGTAGGATATTTTAGCCGCTTAAGAAAGTAACATTTTTTGTATTTACTATTTTCATATATCTATGCATATAAATAAAATTGGAGTGTCTGTTTGTAATATTGAAATAATTTACTACATACATATGAATACAAATACGGTACATACACTAAAATAACATTTTTTACAAATTTTGTCTGTCCGTCTGTCTGTTTGTTCTGGCTAATCTCTGAAATGGCTGGACCGATTTCGACGGAACTTTTTTTGGCAGGTAGCTAATGTAATAAGGAGTAACTATTTTTATTTCAGATAAATTAAGTTAAATTCCACTCGGGTGAAGTCGCGTGTACAGCTAGTAAACTATAAAAAAAATGTGTCCTTAAGCGGCTAAAATGTCCTGCGAGAATAAATATTTTTTGATTTGAATAAAGACCTGAAGAAGGCGACCGATTGCCATTGTAGTTTCCAATTTCTGGACTAAACATATCTAGGTTTACCTTTGACGAGAAAGAAGAAGAATTATAGCAATTTATACCTAATACCGTGCGAGGAATGAACCCGCAACCATCGGAATTGACGTGGTGTGCTAAACCACTTGATCACCGAGGTCGCCAAATTGAGATTGGATATATTACAGTTTTCTAAAATGAATTTGTACACAATTTTGTCACAGTTATTTCTGAACCTTGACTAAACTATAAATAACACAGTAGTTAGACAAGGGCGAGGTACCGAAATAGTTTTCTCTATTGGAAGACTAAACATAATATATTTAATTCACAAATTTTATTCAAAAATATGATTTTTAAGTAACAGCAATTCAAATTAAAAATAAGAAGAGAGAGAGAAGAACTAAAAAGAAATTCAGCTCGTATTCTTTTCAAATAAATTTTGTACATGTGTACAATATACTTCTTTTTTTTTATATACGACGTTGGCAAACAAGCATACGGCCGATCTGATGGTAAACAGTTCCTGTAGTCTATATTACATTAATATAAACAATAACATACAGTCATAACTCTTTTAGAGGTCAATTGTCCCTTCCGATCGATCCCCCGTCCAATTAACGGGGATCGAAATTATGACAGCCTGAGCCGAGGTTCGAACCCCTAGCCCTCAGACTAAAGTCGTACTCGTCAGGCGGGAGTTGATACATACATATTATACATAGATAACAGCCAGACCGATACAAACAATCATACTCATCAATACAAATGTTTGTGCCGTGCGAGGAATCGAACCTGCGACCATCGGACGTAAAGCGGTATGCTACACCACTAGACCACCGAAACTGTCAAATGTAGAAACTGAGAATGTATAGTATAGTTCAGGGTAGGCGAACCTTTATACATCAACGTGCCATTTTTTCCAAAAAATGTTTAATGGGGTCATTGATGTGCCATCATATAATTTTGACTTTCTGATTATTTGGAAAATAATAATAATAAATACTATCAAAACTCTCTATGAAATAAAGTAAACAAGGTACATTTTGGATTGTTTTCATTACACGCATAAATTAAATTACTTTAAAATTAGTGTAACTTCTATTGCTGCAGGTTAGATGACAAATAATTTATGTCAGGCTTGTACGATGTTACTTTTAGCAAAATGCATGCTGAACTGGATTCATCTGTCAAACGGTTTCTAAGAGAGTTTTTAATGTTATTCATATCTGAAAATAATGACTCGCAGGCATAGTTAGGTGAAAATATTGTTAAAATATCATGAGCCAGCTTCTTCAAACAGTTTTATGATCGACGACGTGCCCAAAATATTGTGTCGCGTGCTGTCAATGGCACGCGTGCCATTGGTTCACCTACCCTGGTATCTATATATATATATAACTCAAAGGTGACTGACATAGTGATCTATCAACGCACAGCCCAAACCACTGAACGGGTCTGGCTGAAAATTGGCATGCATGTAGATGTTATGACGTAGGCATCCGCTAAAAAAAGTATTTTGATTAATTCTACCCCCAAGGGCATAAAATAGGGGATGAAAGTTTGTATGAAACTTTGTCAATTTTAAATCGATTGGGCTGTGACTTTGCATGCATAAAGCTACTATGACGTAGGCATCCCCTAAGAAAGGATTTTGATAAATTCCACCCCTAAGGGGATAAAGCCCCTATGCCCCGGCAACGACTCCTGGTGCAATGTAGGGGCTTTGTGGCGAGTCCACATCGACTCTGGAGGTAACTACCCTGGTAAGTGGGTTGACAGCCTCATGGGGCGGATTTCTAAAACTAACCTGTATCCCTTCTTCCCGCGCTCCATGAAGTCATGGCCAGCGTTGACATGGTGCGCCTTCTTTTTGCCACTCTCGTTGCTGGCGTGCTTGGCGTGGAACTTGCCGAACCGATGGTGTTCTCCACTCTTATGGAAGTCGTCGTAGAACTTGTGCTCTTTGTGGAACTCATCTTTGTGGTATTTGTTGTGGTATCCTTGAGAATAAGCAATTATTAATAAATGCATTAATAAGTAATAACTCCAATTCCAAAATGGAACCGTCAAATACTAACGCCAAATTTAAAACTAAGTGTTGTCAAAGAATGCTCATTATTATGTTCTGTGCTAATGGTTAACATTTCTAATCACATTTATTTACTTAATTTTAATTAATAAATATTATTTTTCAGGTTCAGGTTGTGAACACTGATTAAATTTTTTGTTCTTTGCGATAGCATATGCTGGTAGTCACTCTATTCTCCCAAATTTGAATTTTAAAAACTATATTTATTATAAAAATGTTCCACTATTATTTGAAAAAAATACGAGCTGAGTTTCTTGTCAGTTCTTCTCATCTCGATATCATTCCGAACTGACGGTAGATTTGACATATCATAAGAGTCTGTAATAGACCTACATGAATAAAGATATTTTGAATTTGAAAAAAGATATTTTATATGTATTATTTGTATGTAATACTAGCTGTACTCGCGACTTCATCCGATTGGAATTTAACTTTATTCTTCTAAAATAAAGATAGCCTATGTTACTCCTTATTACATCAGCTACCTGCCAATAAAAGTCCTGTCAAAATCGCTCCAGCCATTTCAGAAATTGGCCTGAACTGACAGAGAAAAATTGTAAAAAAAATTGTTTTGATATATGTACCGTACTAATATTCTTATGCCCGTAGTAAAAAACGGTTATTTCAATATTACTAACAGACGCTCCAATTTTATTTATATGTATAGACTAGATTTACCCGCGATTACGTCCGCGTGGAATTATACTTTATTTTTCTAAAATAAAATAATGTCTCTAAAATAAAAGTTGCCTAAGTTACTACTTTTATTTATATGTATAGGTTATAACTAACAACTTTACTAATTGTAAACAAATAGAATACGCTCCAATTTCCAAACATCTCAATTATTACCATACAATACTTAACTGTAACAAGCAAAAAAAATTGCGAGGTCATGCTGTGAATGCAAACAAATAACTTTATGTAACCGATCAAGTGATCGCTTTCACTGCAGACCGCAGAATATTATATTTTCTTGTATAATATCAGATACCGTAGCACAATTACTTGCTTGCTGGAAATTGTGTTCTCTGTGAATATTTACTGTAAATGCAAATGTAATATTTACTGATTTACACTGTGCTTGCTCTTGTGACTTTAGTTTCAATTGCTGCACAGTACAACCTCTGCTTCGCCCGGGTGTACATGTATTATATGTAACCTTCCTCTTGAATCACTCTATCTATTAAAAAAACCGCTTCGAAATCTGTTGCGTGGTTTTAAAGATTTAAGCATACATAGTGACAGACAGCTACAACGACTTTGTTTTATACTATATCATGATGGTACTCTTTATTGCACCAGACACAGAAAAACAATCTTATATATAAAATTCTCGTGTCACAGTTTTCGTTCCCATACTCCTCCGAAACGGCTTGACTGATTCTCATGAAATTTTGTGAACGTATTGAGTAGGTCTGAGAATAGGCCAACATTAATTTTTCATCCCCCTAAATGTTAGGGGTAGTTCAACCTTATTTTTTTTTTATTTTAAGGCAAAACAACGTTTTCCGGCACAGCTAGTTAAAATTAGAAGATTATTTAAACTGATACATAAGGGACTGCCATAAGGCAGTCTTATCGCTAAGCAATATCATCCAGACTACATGCCTTTTAGTAGATTCTAGACCAAACTGATTGCACCTACCCTAGGTGCAATGTACGAGTCAGTTTGGTCAAGAATTCAGTGATCCTAATACAGCCCCGCAACGCACTCTCAAATCTAAATATATATAACTCAAAGGTGACTGACATAGTGATCTATCAACGCACAGCCCAAACCACTGGACGGATCGGACCGAAATTTGGCATGCAGGTAGATGTTATGACGTAGGCATCCGCTAAGAAAGGATTTTGATTAATTCTACCCCCAAGGAGATAAAATAGGGGATGAAAGTTTGTATGTAACTTTGTCATATTTTGAACCGATCGGGCTGAGACTTCGCATGCATAAAGCTACTATGCCGTATTAAGAAAAGAGCGACCGTATTAACACGAGCGAAGCCGCGGGCAAAAGCTAGTGTGTTTATAAAAAAGAATTAAAAGTGAATCATTGAAACTCATATCCAATACAATCCATAGCTAATGAGGAGAGCGGTAGCAAATAACTTGACAAAACGCCGATCCGTAGGAAATGGCACCGTCTGCTCGTATTCCCACAACGAACTATAGTGCGGAATGTCTGCTCTATGCTGATTTGTTTTAATTATATGAAACTGTGAGTGGTATATTCCTACACCAACACTTCCCGTATGTTTCGATGCGCCACAATAAATTTGATGACTGCCTCCTCATTTAGAGTTTAGTACTTGATTCAATTACATTTACATTAGAATGGTCTTTTTTTTTATTATAATAATAATAATCTCAGGACAAATCACACAGCGCCATCTAGACCCAAATTAAGCTATCTAAAGCTTGTGTTATGGGTACTAGACAACTGATACATATACAAAGATATGTTTTTTTTCGTAAATATTATACATAGAAATCACTGAGACCGATACAAACAATCATACTCTTATGAGTATGTATCGGTCTTCCTCTCACGGTGCAAACATTTGTATTTATATACAAATGTTTGCACCGTGAGAGGAATCGAACCCGCGACCATCGGAAGTGAAAGCGGTGTGCTAAACCGCTAGACCACCGAGGCCGTTAATGTCATATCAATCATATAATTTATCTCCTTTACCTTTTTTAACAATAATATGAACATTTTTCGTGTAAGTCTGAGTAAATATTTTTTTGTATAGCGTCACAATCTCATTAATCTTTTAAAATATATACTGTTTTAAATTTGCCGAGGTCATTATTTATATTAAACGTATAGGTAATTAATAGTTAATTTACATATATTTCGGCAATGTTTCAACACTGCCAAAATATCGGGAGCTCAATAAATATAAAACGTGGTAAGGTCCCGTGATTTCTAAAATGTAGTTTCTTACCTTTAGTCTTGTGTCCTTTTTTGTGACCTTTCTTCTCATCAAACTTGGAACCTCTGTGCCCATGGGCTTCTTCCTCATGGCTGCCTTTATGATCAGCGTGGTCGTGGTGCTTATGCTTCTTTCCTGCAGCTTCCTCATACTCCTTGCGATGGTTCTCATCAAGTTTTGAACCTTTAGCTCCTTTGTCTAGGTGATGATTGGATTTGTAACCCTTAGTACTCTGAAAGGATTAACAGAAAGTAATTTCATAAAAGTATAATCTTATTTTTTTGTAATAATGATCCTATCATAAGTTTATATAAATAAAAAATATATTTTTATATTACTAATATCAGATCTTATTAAAAATGCCTGTAATTTTCTTATATGAAGCATATAATTATTAATATATGTAAATAAAAACTATATAATAAAATAAATTTATTTTATTCATGATTAATTGATGAAGTTTATAAATAAGCGATTATTAATTATAATTCATTGGAACTCAATAAAAAAGGGTAGCCAAATATATAAATAACATATAATATTGCAATAACAAACAAATATACAAACAAAAATGGTTTTTTTATATAAGTACCATATATACTTTCATATACATTAATTGAAAAACTGTTAATTTGATATTGCAAATAGACATTTTAATTTTATTTATTTGTAAAGATCTCACAATAAAATATCAAATTTTAAAACCGTTTTCCTTTAAAAAGTTGGGTAAAAAAACATACTTACGTACACATATATTATTCTAAAAAATCAAGCATGCGTAAGAAAAAAATAAAGCATGAAAATTCACATATAATGAGAGCAATAGTCACGTACACATAACATGAAAAAAAATACGTCAAAATGTATCTTCGATTTTATGCCTTTCTGGTATAATTCTTACCTGTTTCTATCATACCTTTTATCCTGTCCTCAAATTTTGACTTTGATAATCCCTAAACTCAATCTCAAAATTATGCATTCATATAGGAACTATTGTACAAAATTTAATAAAGTGTTAATCATTACATAGTATAAAATAAAGTCGCTGTCGCTGTCTGTCCGTTCCTATGTATGCTAAATCTTTAAAACTACGCAACGGATTTTGAAGCGGTTTTATTTAATAGATAGAGTGATTCAAGAGGAAGGTTTATATTTATAAAACATGTACACCCGTGCCAAGCCGGGGCGAGTAGCTAGTTAAATAAATAAAATTATAGGCCTCTCGTGCACGTCATATTTTTTATCACTATCCCTACCATCCAATTCAGTTAGCTACTTGTTTTTTTTTTTATCGTACTATGGTGGCAATCAAGCATACGGCCCATCCGATGGTAAATGGTTACCGTAGCCTATGAACGCCTGAAACACCAGGGGTATCACTTGCGCGTTGCCGACCCTTAAGAAACCTTAATATACCCTTCTTGAAAAACCCCATGCTGTAGTCTCGTGGGAAAACCTCGGCAGGAAGTTCATTCCACAATCTAAGTGTACGCGGGAGGAAACTCCTCTGAAACCGCACTGTTCGGAACTTGTGTTGTGAAGAACTGGTAAGAAACTCAACTGATACATTTCTTTATGTTATTAATATTTTTTTAGACAGTTTCAATCTTTAAATATCAAATTGTGTACAGGTCTAACATAATTAAAATATCAAAAATACGAGAGGGATTTAATATTTTAATTATGTTAGACTTAGAAAATATATAATTAATATTTTTGATTGTAGTCTGCAGTAAATCACAGAAGCCAAAATATAATTTTGACTCTAATGTATTAGTGTTTTTTGTGTTCACATTAGGTAATTTGTATTCACACATTTCAACTTCAAAATATAAAATTACAAGAATTATTTAAAAGAGCAACACGCAAGTTTCTTACTCGTTCTTGTGATGAGACAGCTTTCCGAATGAGCGGTAGATTAAAAAAAAATTGGTGACGACTATTCAAAAGTGCTTCAATGCAAGTTTATTTGAAAAATATATGAATTTTTTTTTGTATTCGAAAAGTATCTTAATTTTTTATAATGCTTTTGTGTTAAAACTACATATTTGTATACTGAACATCAATTTGGATTGTCTGTTATGTTATTGTAATATTGAAATAAATATAAATAAATAAAATGTATAAACAACTTACACCATAAACAATCGTCTCTAAATCTATTATTAACTGTAATATAGAATACTAAATTCAACTAAAACTTATTAAGGTCCTTATTAGAAGAAGTCATTTCAACAAACCAATTTTATGTATGAATTCATTGAAATTGTATGAAACCATTTAAAATCATTACTAATTAAGTAATTACTATTGCGAAAGAAACATTACATACTGCCTTGATGTAAAAAAAATAAACAAGAAGTTCTTACACTTAATATCGTACACAGTTTATTTATTTTCCATACATTCAAAATGATTAAAACTTATTTTGTTTAAAACTAGTTCTCCATTTTATTCATACATATTTTTATTGAAGTGGCTAACTTTTATTTGTTCAAGTATTAACAAATTTTTTGACTGTGCTCTTGATTGTTTATTACCAAGAAATAAGTAATACCTCTCAGTTAGAACAATTGATACATATATTCGTTGTAGATTTTTGATAAATAAACTGTTGATGTTATTAAATTCAGACTTTTCAATTCGTATAAGTAATTACTAGCCCATATTTATAGCAAATGTTTAAATAGCTTTAGTAGCTTAAGATAATAAATCTAAACGTATACCTAAACACAAAAATGATTTTTTTCCTCCTTTATAATTAGTCGATGAAATTATTGATCAACAATTATTTTTTTAATAATCATCTAAATATATATAACTCAAAGGTGACTGACACATAGCGATCTATCAACGCACAGACCAAACCACTGGACGGATCGGGCTGAAATTTGGCATGCAGGTAGATGTTATGACGTAGGCATCCGCTAAGAAAGGATTTTGATTAATTCTACCCCCGAGGGGATAAAATAGGGGTTGAAAGTTTGTATGAAACTTTGTCAATTTTAAACCTATCGGGCTGAGACTTTGCATGCATAAAGCTACTATGACGTAGGTATCCCCAAAGAAAGGGTTTTGATAAATCCCATCCCTAAGGGGATAAATTAACGCGAGCGAAGCCGCGGGCAAAAGTTAGTTAATAATAATTAATAAAGTTAATACTATAACTTCTTGTAGTGGTGGTATAGTTAACATATAATACATTCTCGGACTAAACAAATAAGAATAGTTTTAACATAATTTGAAATCAATGGTAAAATTTTATAATGAAATTTCACATATTAAAAGAGAAATTACTATAGGAAGTAGATTTTAGAACCTATTCCGAATGTAGATATTTAAGATGTAACGAAATTCGCAAATCCTGATAAGATTTATTATATATCTAAATAGGATAATCTAAGTTTTATATTTTAGAGCATCTAAGTTTAAGTTAGTTATTATATATCTAACTAGCTGACCCCGGCATACGTTGTTTTGACATGTAATTAAAATTGCTATTAAAAATAGGGGCTGATGGTATAAGGCTGAGTTTGTATGTATTTTTTAATGTCACATTTTAAAAAAAAGTCCAATAAATAAAAAAAATGTTGGGGGTGGTCCACCTTTATCACTTAGGGGTATGAAAAATAGATAGTAGCCGATTCTCAGACCTACTGAATATGCATATAAAATTTCATAAAAATCGGTTAAACCGTTTCTGAGGAGTATGGTAACTAACATTGTGATACGAGAAATTTATATATAAGATATAGGATACTCCAAGATACAATATTAGTTTAGTAGACATTGAACATAAAACAGATAAATTTACCTTACCACCACGATTAGAGTGGTGATCTGCATGCTTGCCGTGACCACCGCCATGCGAATGTCCCGAGGAATGTTTATGATGATGTCCAGCCGCCGCGTACTGATCACCATCCAACTTCACATGCTGCGGCACACTCACAGATGGAACAGGCACCGGTCCATGCACAGGTGCTTCGGCATTTGCTGCCGAAGCAAACGGGGCGGAAGCAACATTAACCAGGTTAGGCGGAGCGACAAACTGAACAGGGTCATGGTTCACATTAGGCTGGTCATTCAACGGGGCGTTTGGTAACGAAGCAACATATTGATTGGCAGGTTGGGACACCACAGGTTGGAATGAGAACTGAACTGGACTCACTTCAGGGTTACGGTAACGAGCATATGCCGACGGTGGGGCGGCATATACTCTGTGGTAATGATCAGCGCTGGCTGCCAACATTTCCTCGTAAGGCGGCGACGATGGAGACGCATCATCCGTGAACTCATGGACTTCGTACTGATGAACTTGGCGAGGAACCCTTGAATAATCAGCTGAGCGCCTCACTCTGTACACCGGCTCGTCGTAGCACCTTTTCACTCTAATATGTTCCTCATAAGGTTCTTCCACGTACGCCTCTCTTCTGTATCTCTCGATTGTTTCTTCCCTCTCCTCATTGTAAGGCTCTTCGAGATCTTCCTCTTCGACCCAGGGTTCCTCCGCGATTTCTGCGGCTGCGAGCGCCACAACCGTCAGTAGCCAGATCGCTACTGGCCGCATCTCGTCCGAACTGCACTGAAAAATCGCTGTTTTTTTGTTATATACTTTTATACCTTTCACCGCGTTGTCTAATCTGACTTGGATGCAAGGGGTTGCTAAACAGATGGGCGCGCGTCAGTCTGACGGTCTGATGTTTTTAGCGTGTGCCACTTGTCTTATACGATGAAGTATGTAAATATTGTGTTTACATAGAAGCGCGTTAGTCCGCAGCGGGTCGGTGGGACACTGCGCGGGCGCAGCGCTGCACCGGGCTAGAAAGCGTACGTAACGGGCCGACGCGAATCGTTTTTCCGATGATTATTTTCGCGATTTTCGACCAGTGAAAACGGCGGCCGTGAATTATTGAATTGACGCTTTTACTAATGGTCTGCGACCGTGAGATCCGGTTGCACAATATCACGCAACCGTGCCCGGTCCGGTAATGAATCGCCGATTTGGCGCCGGTACTCGAATATTATGACGTTTGTCTGCCTACCTACCTACGTGGGAGAAATAAAAGTGTCTACTTACGACAGAGTTGGTTCCGTAATAGATACGCGTCATCGTTGATGTTTTGCACACTAGTTGTTCAGCGCGGTAATACTTGCACGAGAACTGTTATTTTCAGTCAGAATATTTTTTATCTTTAGTAGTATTATTAATTATTAAATCTAGTAATATAAGAAATTACTGTACAATTATCTATTTCTAATATTTACCGCAATTTTATAATCTATATAGCAGTCGTTTACTATCAAGATCTTTCTTCTTCTTTATTATATTAAATTATTTTTCACAATGAATATTTTACTGTAAGTTAGGCATTGCTCGGACCTCAGGATAGCAGCCTCGATTGTGTAGTTGTTCACTTACGATTGTCGCAGGTTCGGTTCCTCGCACGGTATAATCATTTGTATATTTAAATATGATTGTTTATATCGGTCTAGGTTTTTATATGTATACTAGCTGTTGCCCGCGACTTCGTATGCGTTTCCGTCGTTTTTCGTAAAATAAGTATCCTACGTCCTTCCTCACGGTTCAGTGGTTTTGATGTGTTTTCCTAACATTTCCCTTCACTGCTCTGCTCCTATTGATCGTAGCGTGATGAAAGTATACTATAACCTGCCCAAAAGTATGAAGAATAATTTTACCAAGTTTCGCTAAAATCCGTCGTGTAGTTTTTGTTTCTATAACAAACATACAGACAGACAGACAAAAATTTTACTGATTTTATTTTTGGCATCAGTGTCGATCGCTAATCACATCCTGATAGTTTTTTTGGAAATATATTTCATGTACAGAATTGACCTCTCTACAGATTTATTATAAGTATAGAAGATTATACATGTATTTACAAAAGAAATTCCATACTTATTAATTTACCATTTAGTTAGACTACAGACAAATATATAATATTAAAGCCATGTTTGTCTTTAGTCTATGGTCGAATTAAGAATAGATTGTTATCTATTCTTAATTCGACCATAGACTAACAATAAACAAAATAGTATTTACATATGCGTGTGTGTGTCAAATACATGTGTAGTATGTGTAATGTTTTTTTTATTAATTTAATGTGTTTTTTATATCTAATAAATATTATCATTCTGTACTCTTTCTCTAGATATATAAGCTAGAAGTGTAAGTGAAATTTCATACTCGATCCGCGGAATTTTATTTGCAATTTTCGCAAAAAGGGGTATAAAGTTTCTACATCACGTATTAAAATAATGATAAAAAAACTGCATGTATTAAAAAAAAATATCTTTACTAGTACATAGAAACATCTTTACATCATCATCATCTGCTTCTTCCTTATCCCATTTATTTGTGGTCGGCGTAATATGTTTCTCTCTTCCATTCATCCCTGTTCGCAGTCATCGCGTTATTTACTTCCTTTCTTACCATATCATCTTTCACACAGTCCATCCATCTCTTTTTCGGCCTTCCTCTGCCCTTATAACCATCCACATTCATATGTAACACCTTCCTTAAAATATTATCCTCATTCCTACGCATTACATGTCCATACCATGATAGGCGATTACTCTTCAACCTCTCTGACACCGGCGCCACTTTCATACTTCCTCTAATGTATTCATTCTTTATCTTATCCATTCTTCTCACACCATACATCTACCTCAACATTCGCATTTCAGTTGCATGCAGTCATCTTTCATCCGTCGCCTTTAAGAAACATCTTTATTATAGTAACATATTTACATCTTTAGTATATATTTTTAGTATATTGACGACCTCGGTGGTATAGCGGTCTAGCACACCGCTTTACGTCCGATGGTCGCGGGTTCGATTCCTCGCACGGCACAAACATTTGTATTCATGAGTATGATTGTTTGTATCGGTCTGGGTGTTTTCCATGTATAATATGTATGTATTTACGAAAAAAAAATATCTATGTACTTGTATCAGTTATCTAGTACCCATAACACAAGCTTTAGGTAGCTTAACGTGGGTCTAGATGGCGCTGTGTGAATTGTCCTCAGATTATTATTATTATTATTATTATTATATTGAAACCTTTAAGAAATCCGACGACGTACTTGCAATTCTCCTGGTGTTGCGGATGCTCATGGGCGGCGGTAATCACTTACCATCAAGTAAGCCGCATATTCGTTTGTCCTCTGTGTTAAAAAAAAATAGTATGGAAAAATAAAGCTCTCATTGTTTGTTTTGTTTTGCATTGCGTAATCTCCGGAACTACTGAATCATTTTGAAAAATTCCTTTACCGTTAGAATATTATATTATCCCTGAAGACCGTAGTCGATAAAATATTTTCCAAAACGTTAGGAAAAACATGTTATTCTTTGATTATATTCTTAAATGATTTTTATTTATTAACTTTTAAATTCCACGACTTATTAATCGACGGAATGAAACTTTTTTTTATTAAATAAAATAAAATTTCTCAAATAAATGACTGATTATGCTTTTAACTGATTTACCATTGTCTATATTTGACGACCTCGGTGGTCTAGCGGTCTAGCACACTGCTTTACGTCCTATGGTCGCGGGTTCGATTCCTCGCTCACAAACGTTTGTATTCATGAGTATGATTGTTTGTATCGGTCTGGCTGTTTTCTACGTATAATATGTATATATAATATTTAGGAAAAAAAATCTGTATGTACTTGTATCAGTTATCTAGTGCCCGTAACACAAGCTTTGTCTAGCTTAACATGGGACTAGATGGCGCTGAGTCGTGAGATTATTATTATTATTATATTTATTAATTTAGAAATCACATGACTAACAGCTGATGTGAGTGTAAGGGTCATTAACCTGTTCGCCGCTAGAAATAACCCCCACGTCATCAACCGTCTCAATAAGATTACGCGAGCTCGCAACTGTTTGTTTGTTTGTCATGTACAACTGTTTGTTATCTAATATGTATTTTCTCTCATTGTTTTAACGGGGTTAAATTCATAAAACGCCTTTACAGCATTATGTCATATATATTATTACATAGTACAAAGTCGCTGTCGCTGTCTGTTCGTATTCGTCCCTATGTTTTTTTTTTATAACACAGGGGACAAACGAGCATGCGGCTCACCTGATGGTAAGTGATAACCGCCTCCCATGAGCACCCGCAACACCAGGGGAATTGCAAGTACGTTGTCGGCCTTTTAAAAATGAATAAGCTCTTTTCTTGAAGGTTTCAATATCGTATCGGTTCGGAAATACCATTGCTGTAAGGTGATTCGACAATGTGGTTGTGCGAGGCAAAAAGTTTGTAGAAAACCGCACTGTGGAAGAACGCCATTCATCCAGATGATCAGGATGGTATTTCGTATGCTTAAATCTTTAAAACTGCGCAACGGATTTTGAAGCGGTTTTTTTAATAGATAGAGTGATTCACGAGGAAGGTTTATATATATATATATAATACATATACAGGCGTGCGAAGCCGGGGTAAGTAGCTAGTTGTTTATAAAGTACAGAAGAGTAGAAAGTAAAAAACAAATTGTTATTTGCAGGATTTCACCACCTCGTGTCAAGGAAATATGTTTTTTTTTATCTAATAGTGATATTAATTAGAGTTTCACTTTATATGACCTTTGTTTTAAAATAATTTAGGGTTCCGTAATGTTTCCTTGACCAACATTATTAATAAGTGTTTTCTATGTGATTTATAATAATAGAAAATCTTTTATTCGAATAAACTTGCACTGAAGCGCTTTTGAATAATAATAATAATAACTTTATTGTGCAAAAAAACAAATACAAAAGGGACTTAACTAAGGTTATATATAGATATATAACCTTAATTAAGTCCCTATATTAATTCATGTTATATATATAGATATATAACATGAATTAATATAGATTAATTCATATATATACAATAGTTCTTAACTATTTAATATCAAGTCCAGTGCAGTAGTGTCTAAACTAGGCCTAGCCTGTATCTCAGACACCATTGAATATACCGTTGAATTTCTTACTAGCTGCACCCGCGACTTCGTCCGCGTGGAATTGAAGTTCATTTTTCTAAAATAAAAGTAGCGTAAGTTACTCCTGATGTAACACTGTGGAATTGGTATGTGAAACAAGATCACGGCTCGCCTTATGGGAAGTATTTATTTACGTTTGTCTTGTTTTATATATATACTAGCTGTTCAGGCGACTACGTCCGCGTAGAATTTAACTTTATTTTTCTAAAGCAAAAGTAGCCTAAGTTACTCCTTGTTACATTAGCTACCTGCCAAAAATAGTATCGTCAAAATCGGCCCAGCCATTTCAGAGATTAGCCGGAACAAACAGACAGACTGACAAAAATTGTAAAAAATGTTATTTTGGTGTTATATTCATATGCATGTAGTAAAAAAAGTTATTTCAATATTACAAACAGACACTCTAATTTTATTTATATGTATAGATTGTTTTATTTATAGGAGTTTCTGGTAAAGTTGCAGTCCTGATTTTAAATAAAACCGACATAAAAAAACTTCGGGTTTACTTATATTTTTGACAGCGCCATCTTGTCCGAAGCTAAGCAGAGCTTGTGTTATGTGTACTAGACAACTGATAGAACTGCATAAATACAGTTTCTGTTTGTAAATACATACATAATATGCAACACCCATATTCAAACACCCACTCATACTCATGAATACCATATTTACATACTCGTAGTGAGAGGAATCGAACCCGCGATATATTTGTTTGCAGCGATCATGTTGCTTGTAGTTTTACTACAAAAAAAAACTCAAATTATAATTTTGTCAGCGCCATCTAGTTACAAGCTAAACAAATCTTACGGTTAACTACTAGACAACTGATAAAAATACTTAAACACTTTTTTGTAAATACATTCATAATATACATAGAAAAACAATCTTGGATACAATAGTTTCTATCTATATAGTAATTTTTGTAGCTGTGGCGTGGTCGAG